AGTTTTTGTTTCGGGTTTAACAATGGACCCTAGAACTTAGATGACTGATCCGTATTACTCACTTATAGTGACTCACATTTAAAAGGGGACATTATGAAACTATCTATGTTTGTGGCATAACTTGGTAACTGTGATGTGGCGAATCAGCCTTCGATGATTCAGATGCAGCAGGCGCATTTTAACTTCGATGTTCTACCTTATGGATTGCCCTCTGCCCTCAACCCCCCTCCTGTTTTTCCGTCCGGGTCGCCGAGTGCTAATTTGCTTCATTTATCTTTCCTGGTTTCGGACCCTCTCCCTCTCCCTCTCCCCTCCCCGATCCCAATATGCACTACAATTACTCTACGTGACTCTTGGGCGCTTAATTGCAGCCAGCAGAGTGGATGGTTCGAGTTCTGGTTCTGGTTATGGTTATGGTTCTGGGTTGGCTCTGGGTTTTCTCTTCACTGTGTTGTTCTGCCTTTTTTTTATTCTGCAAGTCCGTCTGCTGCCCCATAAATCTCACGCGCCTCCGATTGCAGGGGTGTCCGGTTCTAAGCGCTGGACATAATAGATAACACTGGGCGTCCCCGGGAATAGAGGCTTTCGCAGGCAACACAGGCTACACAGATCTCGGGTTCTGGGAGGTGGTTTTCCTCCGCTTTCGCTTGGCGATCGTGTGACTGACCAACGGGAAAGCTAATGGCTTGGCCACCACCACTGACCGAGATCATAATTCATTTGTCGGTTGGCGAAATCCAAGACAAGTCGCATGTGTGAATGGGTGCTGAAGTGGGTCGCGAGCATAAATCAAAACGGTGGGTCACTTTGGCCATGCCTCGCTGGATTGTTGCATGCAACACGCCAGTGGTACATAAGTCGCGATTTGTTTCGTAAGTCAGTTCACCGACCCACTTGCGGAATCCTATTTGCCTTGGGTGTGTCCGCGATCTCGGGCCGTTACTTTTCACACCCAAACTGGTTGGAAATGCGAAAACTAGCGACAATTGTCGCTACCACAAAAAACGGAGAAGGGGGGTACACGGCAAAAAAATATCAGACAGGTTTTTCATCCAGTTTTATTTGTTCTCTTAATTGTAATCATTTTGACTTGGTGTATTTGGTGTGTATCTAACTTTAAGAACCTCATTCTTGTCTAAATAGTAAACTAAAATTAGGTTTCAAGCTAAGAAAACGTTTGAAAACTAAACACAACCTTAATTTTAAGGTTGATATATTTATATATAATATTTTTAACCATTTCCTAAGCTGTAATTGCTTGAAAAAATATAATTACTATTGGCTTTGATATTGTTAGAATAAAGACTGTTTGATTGTAAACCTAGCCAAGAGGCAATCATCTCTTGATTTAAATCAGAAAGGCTGTATACCCCTATTATTATATTATTAAAATAAATTGAGAAAACTTTATTTTCTCTGTGCAGTCACTTGGAAAATGCACAAACAAAGGCGAGCAACTGAGAACCGCCAGCATAATAATTGATCGCTGCGGCGAACGACTTTCCAACTGGTTTTATTTCAAACCCAAAGCACTACACAGATTTTTCCTTAATTTCCCACCAGTTTTATCCAGTTTTTATTGCCCTCGTCAGGCATTGTCTAAGATTTCCTCTATTTATGCTTTGAATTTTTTATGATTACTTTCCACAGGCCGCGAACAAAAGAGTTTTGTGAGCCGAAAGTTTTCCTATTTTCCTATTTTCCTCCCGACTCCTCGAGATGTTTTTTTGGATGAATTATGAGCCCGGGAGTGGTGACCTCAACCAACTTCCCCTTGTTCGTCCCCCGGGTGGTTGGTGGTCCCTCTGTGGCTTCATTTCATATGCGTTTCAGTCGGGGGAAGGGGCAAATGTGAATGGACTCTATTAATGTAATGCGATCTGCGGCGCATGGAAAAATCAAATGAAATGAACTGGTCAGTGTGAGAGGCAGCCGTTTTGCTGCGCCTGTCTTACCGCCTGATGTTGATGTATCTCTGTATCCCTGTATCCCTGCCCCTCCCATTTATTTGTATCTTGTATCTTTGTATCTCGCGGCGCACTAATCTGACAGCATCTGGTCAAGCTGACGGCCGGGCAAACTATTTCTGGCATATTGCATTTCGCGTTTAATTTGGCTGATTACATGCAATGGCCATGGTCCACAACTGTGTTTGTCAGCTGCCCAAATATTTCGCCGCCGACTGTCAAACATCCCGCATTGCATCATCGCCCACTAATGCACTGCAAAGAAATCTAGGTTTTTTTTTTATTTGCAATATAAATATACATTTGAAGTAATATAAAACCCATTTTAAGCTAGTTCACAAATTAAGTAAATATCCTTAAAAATATTGCCTATATCATATTTCATATCCTGATCAAATATGAATAATATATCATTTTTCTTATCCTGATCAAATATGGATAATTTTATTTGTGAGTTTAAGTATAAAGTGCGTTTGGATTCAATTTTATGCTAATTAAGACCTCTAGTTTATAATTAAGTAACCAAATTTTAAAAACCAGATATAAGAAATTTGTTATTTTGATGCGTTGGTGGTTGTAAATTGTTTTTAAAGAACTATTATATATAAATAAACACTAGTCACAGTATTATGTTTTATTCCAGTCTGCCAAAACTCTCTTGATCTATTGAAAATTGTACTAATCTTTTTAAAAAAATAGTTATTTAAAAAGACTGATATTTTTAGAAATTAAATAGTATTTTTCAGTGTAATTTAATGTTATTTTATTTACTGTGTGTGTCATCAGACTTAGACTCCCTCGCTTTTTCGCTCGTGTCTTGGCCCTTTGTCTGTCAGCGGCGTTTTGTTTATTTTTATCTGGTGCTATTTCAGTTCGGGTTGCTCTTGCATTTCCATTAATTTTTGTGCGCGGCTGCGCGTTTTATTTGGTTTGGTTTGCAAGTCAGGCGACTACGGTGAAACATAAATAAATATTTACATACATTTCATCTCTGGCTGCGATCACGGCTGGCTTCCTGCCTAAATAATCGCGGATTCAGCCAACACCAACAGATGGAAAAGGAAATGCACACAGATGCAAGAAAATTCAGAAATAAAGTACTGCAAGAGGTGGTATTACTGCGATTTTCCTAGATATAGGATTGTATATATATTGTATATGGTATAGTATTTCATATTATATGTAAGACTTTTGCAATATTTTATTTGAATATCATAATTTAAACTTACATTTCTAAGGTACTTATATTCTTTCAATGCCAACTCCCAAATTCTTAATCTTGTTTGATTAACCAGTCTTCAGTAAATGTTTTTCTATACCTAAAGCTAAATTAGAGGAACTGCAATATAAAGATTATTTACACACCAATATGAATTGATTAATTGACTTGGTTGTTTTCCAAGACTTTTAGTCATAAATAATAGGTTTTAAATATATTTTCATTATGCAACCATCGATTTGTATCCGAGTTTGAGGTATGCCCTAGTTACTGTACATATGGCCAGGAATACAAATATTTCGGAATATTAATTTGTGTGAGGATTGACATGCACTGAAAAAACAAATGATATAATGGGGGGACACAAAATATATTTAGAAATGTTATTTAAGAAAATTGTTATCAGGATGTTTATAATGAACGTATACGACTGTCGTTAAAAAAAGGGTAATTAAATAATTATTCCATTTTGTAAGAAATCGGGCCTATGTCTTAGAAAGTAAAACATATAAATACTGTACGTAGTTTATATAAATATTATAATATGCTGATTAATTTATTAAAAAGAAAATTATAATAAAAATCTTTAAAAAGTAAAAATGAACCACTTGATCTTTGGGTGTTATTTTTTCTCTGTAGGAACACTTGATGGTCAGTGGATCGTGTGCCGCTGTGGGCAAACACACATATCATCCAATATATCCGGGACTACTGGGCGTAGTGATGCCTCCGGGAACTTGGGCCCCGCCCAGTGCTAAATGCCATCACAACAAAGACGGAATCCAAACCAAATCAGAGGCTTATTAATGAGCTCCGTTTTCATTTCTGTTTGTTTCGCATAATTATTCAGACGATATCTGGACGTCTCTGACGAAATCCGTCTCACATTTGGAGATGGAATGGGGAATACAAAAGTTACCGCAGATGAGAAATTTAATCAGCGGGTTCGATTTCCGCTGGCATCATAAACATCCATGACATTTAGTGCCCACTCAACGCCATTATAGATTTCTGGCATATATTAGCAGCTGATCCGATGACGTTTCACAATCATAATCATGCGGGCCCCTCGGAGAAACACTCTTGTCATGTATTTTCGTCACATTGCGAGTGTTTTTTGAATCCCCCGAATTCGATGTGCCTATTGATTGATCAATGGGGGCGGTCGGTCAATTGAACATCAATTGAGCGAAGCTAGTGACAAATGCCCTTTAATTTAGTGTTAAGCCAGATGGTACTTAAAGAAATATAAGTGTAATTAATTTGAGTTAATTTATTTTTGTGTAAATAGAAAATGAATGTATAGCAGCCCATTACACAAAGCAACATTTTATTAGTTTTAATCACATAAAATTTGAACTTTTAATGAATCTTAATGAATATTCTTAGGAACAATTATAATATAACATGAACTTTCTGAAGAGTAATATTATTTCTGAATTGCAAAAATAAGATTATAGCGAAAACGGGCTTTATTAAAACTAATAAATGTCTATTATATTTTTAAGAATTATTAATCAAGGCAAGATAAAAACCTAATTATATATATAAGAGCTCAAGTGCTTTTAATAGTATTATAACAAAAAGGCGTAAAGAATTGTTAATTTGATTTTTGAAAAACTACAAATTTTGGTTTTTAAAATAAATATCTTTTCAACTCGCTCATATAATTTCATCCCTCCATGAAATTCGAATAGTTAACAGAGGTTCACTAACATGCGCTTAACAGCACTCTATTTGTAACATTTAACAGCTGCTAGGTTAACAGCACATTTTCGTAACATAACATAACGTAAAAGCACAACGTTAGGTTAAACGTAAACAGCTGTTTTCATTTGTTGTGATCAATTTGGTTTGGATAAATTCTACTTTTGTTTACAAATATCCACCAAAAAAACAAAAATGCGACGACGAGTAGGCCTGGGAGCCATCCAGCAACAAAAACTGGCCGCGGAGAAGTATAAAGATAAGGGAACCGACCTGCAGGAGAACCAACTCGAACAAATGACCAAACAAATGGAGGTTTTCCGTGTGAAACTGGAGGAATTCGCAATGAAACACAAGGAGGACATCCGCAAGAACTCCCAGTTTCGCAAGCAGTTCCAGGAAATGTGTGCCGCCATCGGAGTTGATCCCCTGGCCACAGGCAAAGGATTCTGGAGTGTCCTCGGAATGGGGGACTTCTACTATGAACTGGGTGTCCAGGTGGTGGAGGTTTGCCTGGCTGCTAATCACAAAACCGGTGGACTCATGGAACTGGATGAACTGCGACGACGTCTAATCGCCGCGAGGGGTCAGAGTGCAGTGCACCAGGAGATCACCAAGGAGGACATCCTTATGGCCGCCAAGAAACTGAGCATCTTCGGCAATGGGTAAAGGTTTTTTTCTATATGACTCATGATATGAAAGAAGTGGGGAAGAATCATTTATCAGCCTAAAATGCATTTTAATTATCGTTAATAGTTTTGTAATAAATTTAATTTATTAACTTTCAGCTTCGTGGTGCACAAATTGGGCAAGGGAAAGTACATAGTTCAGTCCATTCCCGGAGAGCTGAGCATGGAGGAGACCAACATTCTGAATGCAGCCTCCAACACCGAACAAGGCTGCGTTACGCAAAGTCAGCTTATTAAGGATTTGGGGTATTTGTTCTTCTTGTTTATCCAACTGAATGTTTAATAGTTATCCCTATGTTTTCCTAGATGGACCGACTATCGTGCCCAACAGTCACTGGACAAGGTGCTCGGCGAGGGCCTCTGTTGGATTGACAAGCAGGCGGATGAAGAGCCTTCCTACTGGTTCCCCAGCTTGTTTCCCGGTCGCAATGCTCAGACTGCAGTTGCCTCTTAGTGCTCTCATAAAAATAATTTAATCTGTACAATAGTTATCATAAAATATATCTTTGTACAACTGTAAAATCAGCGGCTTGGCCTAGAATGGATGCCTGGAGCTGTCTCCGGCGGCGCCGCTTTTGAGCAACATGTTGTCCGCCACCAGCTGGTCGTTCTCCTTCTTTAGCTCGTAAATGACCGACTCGAAGCGCTGCGTGATGTCGTCCATGGCCTTCCGGTACTTGGACTTCATATTCTTGTGGTCCACCAAGTAGCGCTCCATTTGAGTCTCGTAATGCTTTTTCCTACAAAGGAAGCAATAATGCATTTAATTTGCATTTACGTTATATCAACAAGTATATTTAATACTATTTGACGAATTCAAATAAATGTTTAACTTTGTACTGAAGTTGATCACATTTTGTAAAATATTATAACTTTAATTTCGCTTATGAGAAAAGTACATAATCAACTCCATTGTTAAGTATAAATAATAAATAATTTAGATTATTAATTAAGCAGTATGGTTGTGTAAATGTGGAAAAACCACCTAAGTAGGATGGAAATGTATTTTGTATACCTACAATTTGAAATCTCTATCATCCTCTTCTTGCATATCGTTCAGAGATCGCTCCAACTCGTTGAGTCGCCTAGAGGTGACTTCCACCTCGGTTTCCAGCTTTTCGTTTTGCTTGAGAACCTCCTTGTATTTCTGCTCATGGCGATTGTTCCGCGTCTCCAGCAAGTGAACTACCGATTTGTGTTCGGCGGACTCCTTTTTAAGCTAATAAATAATTTAAATTATATTATATATATACATAGAAAGTTATCCTTTGTTATTTCACCTTCTCCTTTAGGGATGTGATAAGAGTGTCCTTCTGCCTGAGCTTGTTCTTCAGTTGGCCCACTTCGTTGTCCACGCGCTTTGAGGCCTCCTCCATGATGCTGCCAATGTTGTTGGCCAGTTGGGTAACCTCTTCCTTGTAGACCTCGGCCAGCCTCTTGGCCTCCATCTTCTCCCTGGTGGCCTCTTCGCTTAGGGTGATGGCCTCCTCCACCTTTCGAATGGCAGTAGTTTCCCGCCTCGTGCTCTCCAAAAGCAGATTGTGAGTGTGACTGAGGGACAGCTCGTACTCCTTTAGCTGCTTCTGTAGGCTGGCCACCCGGGCCTGATCCTGGTCCTGCACCTTCAGCTGGGAGTGCAGCTGCTGCAGTTGCTCTCCACCCCGCTGTTTGTGCTCGTGAAGCGCCTTTATGGTCTCCGCCTGCGTCCGCAGCTCCTCCTGCTGGGCAGACACCTTCGACTCCAGCATTTTCATGGCCCTTGCGTACCGCTGAATTATCTAAAAGAGAAATCCGAAAATGGTTAAGAAATTTTGGGATTTTACTCGTTAGTCTTTGGTTTCCATAATGAAACGTCAAATACTTATCAAGTCATGGCTTACTACAAAATGTAAGTACATATACATATTTAAAAATTATTCTACATTTGGGAGTTTCTTAACAAGTTTTTTAGGACCTCTAAAATGTATTATTTTCGCAGATGTCGCAAAAGTACTAGCCTTTTCCCACATAAAAATACTTATAAAAAATATTTAGAATATTATTGGACTAAGTATCGACCATCTTGAAGTTAATTTACCAATTTCAATAAAGTTTTCCCTTTCAAATAAATACCTGATCGTCACCCGACTGCTGCATCTGGACGCGATAGTTCCTGAGCTCCAGTTCCATGTTCTCGATGGTCCTTTTGGAATAGTCCTGCATCGATTGCAAGCTCTGCCGCTCCTTGAGCAGGGATTCCACCTGCTTCTTGGCGACTTCCAAGGCTTTGTTGGTCAGTAAAAGGCTCTGCCTGAGATCCTGGTAGTCCCCACTGGCCATGGCGTTCTTGCATTTGGCCAACTCGCTGGTCAGCCGGCCGTTTTCTTCCTGCACTCCGTTGACATAGATGCGCAGGTTTTTCTGCTCCTGCCGGAAGTTGCGCAGATCCTGGTTGGTATCCCGCACCAGGCGCTCCACTGCATCGGCCACTTCCCGCACACCGCTGCTGGAAGGATTAGTATATTAATAATTTAAATGGGTTTAATTTATATTGGTTTTTATTTTGCCTACCTGGGAAAAGCATCCTTTTCTTCCGGTTGTCTCATTGTTGTTTTGTGTGGAATCACATTATTTTTTAAACTTTAAGGGGGCTATGTAAGCATTTCTAATAATGTCTTATTGAGTCAACATTATGGTTTTGGTCATGAATTTTTATTTTGGGGGACAAACTCCTAGATGTATTGGTGAAATACATGTTTACATTTCATGTCATTTAATAGGGGTTTTATTGTTCATACTTTCAATATTAATTTTTCAGGTGTGTTAAGTTTGTTAAAGAGAGACTTAAAAGAACATAAAAGGGGATATTTGTGATACCAGACAACAGAGTACTAGTTATTTGGAATTGATTGCAGTGACACTTTTGTTTCTTGTATCAAGTTAGCTTTGAAGCCAGATTTTCAGCAGTATCAAAAGCAGTTTTCGAAGAACTTTGAACTAATTGCTTATTAATTTAGTTGTATTCTCGCGCGGCTGGGAACCTTTTTTATTGCACCGAATCTATGCCACTGGCAGGCTTTTGCTGTCCGTTGTCAATCTGTGACGACCTGCCACCCTTCAAGCAGGTATTTCTTGCAATGGAAACCAGGCACGAGTCCTGCCACGGCCGCTGACCCCCGACAAGTGTCGGTTGTCCTGGGCAACGAGACAACGGGGCAGCCAAAACAAATGGTGAAGTAATCGGAAAATGGTCAACTTTTCTTTTACAGTCGCTCGCCATGCCGCTGTTCAACAAGAAGTTCGAGTCGAAGCCGATCCCGGTGCGTCAGGGGCGGTGCAACATCGGACATCCTGTGGCCACCGAGGAACTGGACGACTTCCGCCAGATCTCCCTGACCCTGGGCAACAAGGAGCTGCGCTTTGCGGACGGCATCTGGATGCATTCGTCCCGAAAGGGCGATGTGGATGACATGCTGAGGCTAAACAAAAAATTCCGGGCCCTCGAGGAGGAGAACAACATGTGCAACCTGAAGATCGAGGTGATGTTGGACCTGCTGGCCGAGCATGCCACGGAACTCAATGAATTGAAGCCAAAGGAGAAATGAGATGAATATGTTTTAGGAATGTATCTAGGACAATAAAGGGTGGAAATTGAGGATAACTTTGACGACACTTAATAAAACTATTATTGAATAGTCAATAAGAACAATATATTAAGTGGTTTATATTTACAAAAATTTTACATTGGAAAATCCTAATAATTAAAAAATATATTTGTGTCTATCTTAAAGCTATGCATTTTGCAATATTTATAAGAAATTTTATTCATTTTCTTAAATCCTAATAAATAAAAAATATATTTGTGCATTTTACAATATTTATGAGTAGTTTTACTTATTTCTTTAACTTTATAATTTTTATTGAATTATTTAGTTCAATTTAGTAAAATACAATTAAAAACATGATAATTTAAGCTTAAATAAAGCATCTTTGAACTATCCTACTTCTTTCCTTCATAGACATCTTCCAATAACAACCTGTACTTTTAAAAATTAAAACTTCTTAAAACTTGTATTAAGGCTGATGAGTGCTAGTGACAACAGCGGAGTCCTTTTTCTTTTTTTGTTTATCTGCCAAAAGCTGCAAATGGACCTTTCTCAGTCGTGAGAACTCTTCGTCGAACTTTAGCATGAGATTATCCATATCCTTCTTGAAGCTGGCCATTATTTTTTCCTGCACCACTTGGTATACTTCTATTTCATTCTTGTGCCGCTTTTTCCTGTAAAAACAAAAATAAGCTATTGATCAATATTATAGATACAAAATATTTTTGGTCTTACAGTTCAGCTTGATGTTCCTCCATATCGGAATTAGGATCATTTACTGATCTTTCTGCCTCCGCCTCAAGTTTCTCATCCCGCTTAAGAGCTTCCTCGTACTTTTCCTTCAAGAGAATTTTTACCATCTTGGGATCTTGATTCGTTGGTTTCTGAGGCAGCTATCAGGTAGGATAACAGATTATTAAATTCTTAAATTTTTAAGGTATTTTTGCTCTTACCTGCTCACGCATGGAAATAATACAATTTTTGCTCTGGTTCAGTTCATTTTTTAGTTGGTCCATTTTAAAGTCTACGGATTTTGTGACGTCTTCAACTGTGCTGTCCATTGAATTATTTTCCAAATGTGGGGCAACATATAGTTCGTTTTCATCCTTGTTCTCCAAGAAAAAGTTGTTATGCTCGCCCTGATTGTGACTCATTCTTCTTCTCTTCTTAACTAACACCAAAAGTTAACTAACTAATTATTGTGGAAAATGCCTAGATCAACGTGGAATTAAAGCCGAAAATGCTATGAATTTACAAAGATCAGGTTGTTAAATGTAAACTAATTATGCAAAGGGAACTTGATTATTATTTTATTTACGTATTTCTAAGTGTGTTTGCTCATAAATAATTACTATAACCAATTAGCAATTTCACACTTATTCAGTCTTTTAAACTAGAAAAAAATGCTATTAAGGTCATTAAAGGTATACAAAAAAAGTTATATTTATTTCAGTAAAGCAATCTTACGAAGTCATATACAAAATTATCTAAATGACTTTATCTAAATGACTTTCTAAGTTTCTAAAATGCAAACTACAAATTTGTATCAGTCTAATGGATTGCCATCTAATAGGTTAATGGCTCAAGAAAAATCAAATCAGGCAGCAGGCTTGTTTATTTATCGTAAATACCATAAATATAGTTTGACCCAAAGTTACCAAACGTTCGATGAAGACCCAACCACATACTCGAGATCTATTTATAATGCCACATTAATCAGTTTCACATGCCCATCGGGGGAGTTATCAAGAGGTCTGGCTGGGGGGCTTTTGTTGACCGGCCCATTGGGCATTAATTTGGATTTGTTGCGCGAGCATTGGAGCTGGTCAAATTGGTGGCATTGTTGTCGCCATTGGCAGCAATCTATAGACGCCATCGGTGGTATGGGTGCTATGGGTGGTATCGATGGCTCTGGTATCGCAAGCGGTCCGCCGACGAGCTGCCGCTGGCTCCCGCTTCGTTTATAGGCCGCTTGATAAGCCGCCACCTCACCAGCCGATAAACCCCGGCAATTGAGCAGTTCGTCCGCGGTGATAAAACCCATCGATGAGCTGTATAAATAGCGCTTTGAATTTACATGACCTCCGCCGGTACTCCACTCCTATCTCATTCACGTCCGGGGCTAGACAAATTTTCGGATCGCCCGATAAAGCTTAGTCTAATCTTTCCCAGGGGGGAAGCGGAAGTACGAATGGCGGTGCGGGTGCCTTCACTGCATATGTACATAGGTGTCTGCATGGGCCCCATATCGGTCCACTCCATCGACTACTGTATATTTACGCACCGATATTGATATGCGATAAGCAAAACTGCTTATAAAACACATTTATTTTGTTGTTCCCAGCAATGCCAGCACCTACAGCAATAGGACACTGAGAGAAAAGCGAATCACATGCAGGTTTAAGTTGTGGTATATTTTAGTATGTTTATTCTATTGCAGAATATTTTTTTTATGTACTAAAAATAAAGTTATTAAAAGAAATCAAACGTGTTAACAAATCCATTATCCATTTTATTAATTTCAGTAAAGAAACTAAGAAAAGAAAAGAGAAAATATCATTATGGCAAAAAACGGATACAAATTCTATTAAAAACTCTGTGAGGAAATCTATAATCTCAAAATAAATATTTTGTATTTGGTTCAGTATGTTCTAGACAAATTGATCTATATAATTAAGATAACGGTATCAAACTTATAAATTATTTTACTTCCATATTATATTTTCTTGTCATAATTTTTCTCAGTGCACTGCCCACGGCTGCCTGTGGCCGCTGCCGTCGCCTCCGATGGGTAACACTTGTTCGAATCGTGTATTACAGTAGTTTGTTGATAGCCAGCCCCGCGAACGGAACGCGTACGGAAGAAAACGATCGCGAGATCGATGTGGCTACAATATTTACCGACCACAATAGCCAATTGCCGGGAGAAAACAAAAGCAATTGGAGCTCCAGACGGAGGAAAAACTAACGTTTTGTGCGAACTTCGCGAATTTCAGTGGCGCAAACGGCAAGTTCTGTGTGGCATTAGGTAACCGGAGACGCAGACCCGGAGTTCCGGATAACGAAAAAAGCCGTATCAGCTGAAGAGGGGCGAATATGAAGCCATCGTGTCAGTTGTCCATCTGCTGTTAGCCGAAGTGAGTGTGTTTGCTCCTATTTTGATTCCACTTCTCGGCCAGATCGGTAAACAAATTGTCTATTAAACAATCAACTTTTCACCTAATAAATGATATCGTATAAATCAATTGAGTCGATGCCAATCAAGTGGGGCAACACAGATAAATCTCCATCACAATGGGCCGAGATCGCAGATCTGGACGAGGCAAAACGAAATGCATAAACAAACGTCCCTCGCATCAAAAGTGTTTTATGAGTTTTGTGTTTTGTGGTCGAGCAAGTGATCGGGAAATGATTTGTTCACGACATTCCACTTAAAGGAGGAACATTCATTTATTTATTATATTAGAATGCATACAGAATATTTAAATGACCAAGACAAAAGCTACATGTTTCGCAAGCATAAAAAAGCAATTAAAATGAAGACTTTATTTCTTCCAATCAAGCTGTATTTATTTAACTCAATTTTTGATATTTTATATCCCCAATGGAGATCATAAATTCTCCCCAACAATAGTCATTTTTCGCATCACATAGTTCTAAAATGGATCATTAAGTTTTGAATACAATTTCCGTTCCGAACAGTTAACCGTTACAGCCCTTCTATGCGCTTCTCAATCTATTGAGTGCCCCGAAAGTTCTTTGGTAGCTGCCAATCAATTGATAAACGGGCATTATAGCTGTGGCAATGATTTATTGTTGCATAAATGGCACTCACTATTTATTAATAAACGAGAAGCGAAATTCTGATAATTTATATATATGAGAACCAAGGATTTGTGCCGCATTGTTTGTGTTTGTGAGCCAATGTAGAGCACCCGTTCGCTTCAAATGGCCAAGTAAATAAACAAAAGTAGATTTTTACACTCATCGCCGACAGCGCACAATAAAATGTGTGAAAAATGTGCTAGAGCCAGTGGAAATGCAACCGCGTAGACCAAATAAATAAATAAATAAATTCAAACTTGGAGAGCCACGAATGTTTGCTAAGAAATTAAATGAAAATCGATCAAATGGGAAATAAACGAATGGCCAGCCAGTGGAATGCCAAATAAATAAATGCCAGACCATTGTGTGTGCCCCAAACTAACTAATCAAAGTGTTCGACAGGTTCCTTTAGCGATAACAAGTGGAAGTGGAAGACAATGTCGTGGATATGCTAAGTGGAAATGGATCCGATGATTTGTGATCTGTGGTCTGGCCACATCTGGCTATTGATTCTCATTTGTTTCTGCGGCTTTCAACAATGTCGCGGTTCTTTTGTGGACTATACAGGTAAGTTGGTTTTGGATTGGGGTATCTTATTATGAAGTGCAGTTTAAAATGCAATTGGGTTTTAATTGTTTCCCTAATTTTATATACTTGTCTTATTTAATTATTTGGGATGACCCAATTTAGGTAATTTTAAAATTAGTTAATATCCCTAAATCATTTAAAAAAGCTTAACTACCCGTAAATTACTTGATCTAATGTGAAGTGGAAACTATGAGTGGTGACACAAAAACTAAATTTGATTCACCTTAGAAGCTTTTTGTAACTCTACGTTTCCGCATTCATTCGTCAAAATGCTCAGAAGGTTAATCGCAACTTTGGAGAGCACAGTGCTTGATAAGATACTGTCAATTTGGCTATCATCGACACAGAAAATAGTAAACAAATTTCGTGCCATTGCCTTGATTGAATGGTTCGTTCTTTTCTTTTTATTTTTCGCCGGTGCAGAGAACACAGAGTTGATTCAACAGAGAGCCGGGTTTGATGTCAGGCTGCAGTGCAATCTCAAGGGTTTGGTGGACGATAGTATGTTGGATGACATCAAGATACATTGGTACTTCAAGGTATTTATTGATACAAAAGTACTATTGCTTAATTCTCTTGTTATAAATCTTTTAACTTCTTTAGCAATGCAGTGAAAATAATTGTCATCAGTTGGAGTCTGTGGATGAATGGACCGCTCTGCCTTGTGAGCCAAGTCTTTGTCGTCCGGAGTTGTGGCTCCGGAATGTGACGGAGCGGTATTCCGGACTCTACAAATGCAGCATCAATCCTCACATTTGGGATAAGGCCCAAGCTGTGGACGTTCAACTGGTTCGCACCTATCAGCTGGATGTTAAAAGTGAGTCCAATTTATAAAACTACAATCAACAAAATAACAAACAAATATTAATTAAAATAATCTATTCTATTCTATAATATATTCTTTAAATAAAACCATGATTGGTCAACCAATTTGTAAAACAAAGAAAGACTTCTTTGCTTTTAAGAATGCAAATTTTGAATTCGGATCAGTCATAATTATAGATCCCTTCTCCTTTTTTTAGATACCTCCTTGGCCGCTCCCGAGTTCGTGGACTCGTATCCGAACAACAAGACGACTTTGGTGGGCAGTAGGGTGGTGTTCCAGTGCCGCGTCCACAGCGAGGAGCATCCCACGATCAAGTGGTTCCGCCGGCACACCTATGTGGGAACCCAGTCAGTTGGAGAGGCCTCGACTTCACCCACTGCCTCCAATTTCAGCACTCACATTGTTCGTTACAATGGTCGGACTTATGAACTGCTATCCACAGATCCAGAGAAGTTGATGGCTCCCCAGATATATCTCAGCAAGTTGATTCTGGACGGAGTGAGATTTAGGGATGCGGGTCACTACGCCTGCGTGGCCATCAGTTATCGGGGTCACAAGATCCGGGAGGCGTTCCTTGAGGTACTCCCCGTTCAGGATGATTCGGAAAAGGAGTACTGGTCGGATTACGATAGCAGCGAAGATGGAGTTTCGACCAGCGATCCTCGGGAGTTCCTGCTGCTCTTTTTAATGCCTTTAGGATTGGCACTACTTCCACTAACCGTTTGGTTCAGTTTTTTGTTGTACAAACGCTGCTCTGTGAATCACAGTGATTGCCAGCGAATGGATTCGGATGAGGATCTGGACACGGAAAGGTGCGTCCTTGGAGGGAATTAACGCATGAAGCCATAACCGGAATTGATGCAAGCTGCATTACGCTTATTAAGTTTATGAATAAAGACTGTAAGTAGAGTTAAGGAAGTTGTACATATGTTGGATTTAGGATGAATGCAATGATTAAACATATTTTGTAAGTCTTTTTGTTTTAATTTTTCATGTCCTTCACATTATTGGTTTAATCTTTAATTTAGAGAATTTAGACATAATTAAGCAGAATTTATTGAATATTCTAATTTCCCCAGCTAACAAGTCTTCTAAGCCCCTTCCTTCACTTTTGATACGAATGAATTTCAAGAATACCTACAGTTTTGTGCCATTTGGTTGAATGTGATGGTTGTGTTCGAATGTTACTAAGGCAGGCTATTTAAGCAAAGTTCAAAATTTCCGTCGTATGAAATTCAAAATTAGTTTAGTCTTCATTTGGGCACCACCACCACCACCACCGCCATCAACGAAGTTGATATCAGCAACTTCATATCCACATCAGCATCCTGATCGATCCTTTAAAGAAAAGCCACTTGTTTCTACCATCTGATGATCTTTGAGATTTGCCTGCGGTTCCATTTGATGCGACAGATCCAAGTTCACATATCCTTTCTGGTCAACCAACTGGCACCATTCGAAGAGTCCTCCATTGGAGAGATATCCAACTAAATCATCCCATTGCCGAAGCTTTGGGTAACCTAAACAGACAATCCTAAGAGGGATTCCCTGAATGTCTGGATCGAGGCGAAGCCGCAGTATGTTGGGCTACTACGAATACTTCATGCCCGGGATCTATGACTATCCGGTGACGCACAGTGCCGCGGCTACATTCAGTGCCTACAATATGGATCCCATCCTGGCCAGCGGCTCATCGCCATGGTCGATTCCCAGTGCCACCTATGTGGCAGGACCATTGGGCGTCATAAACTACCTGTCGGATGTGCAATCGCACTTGGCTCTGCCCATCAGCCAGAACCTGGGAACCGGTCTGATCTACACGGCCATCGGTTCCAATAACCTGGATTCCTATCCTCATCACTCGCTCCATGACTACGGGCAAATGGAGGAGGATGAGGGGTACGGGTATGAGGACACTCAGCTGGATCTCTGCCTGGCTCATTTGATTTCCGATTCCGATGGGGAAGAGGAGCAAGTGGAGGAATCCGATGTTGATCAGTCGGGCGATTCCCAGAGCTCCTCAAAGAGTTACTCATCTGTGGAGATCACCGAGCAGTCGGGATCAGGGGAATCGGTGAAAGCTGAGGAGGTGCCCAGAAGGCAAAGAAAGTCTTCGCGTAGGCGCATCTACGAGGCTGAGCAGGGTTACCTGGTGGAGGAACCCTCCAGTGAACTATCCGAGGAGGATCCCGAGGAACTGCCACCCAAATCTAGGACATAGATCTTCATTCAGCCGCTTGTTGACGTTTCTATTTCCGATTTACTTTTCCATTGATTGCGTTGCGTTCAAATTCGAGCAGTTGCAAATCAACTTAAGACCGATTTCCAGATTCGTGTTCAGAAGTATAGCTTACGCATTATCTGTATGCAAGTATGTAGAATTGTACAAGCTGTTCAAATTTGATTTATCGTTGCAATTTGATAGTGAGCAAATATATATATCTTTTATAACAAATGTTTTTATCTTTAAAATCCTTAGGCAAACATCCTATTCATACAATATTTCTGTCTCCTTTCTGAAGACTTGTGGTTTGATTCTCAAAAAATCTGCATTCAAAATTTTCATTTTAACGTTGGTCCAGTTTTTTGACCCATTTTCCTGTCATTTATTTCCAAGTTTCCGATGTGTTGTTAAAAGGTGGCCCACAACAGGACTTCCGCAGTCCACAACTTTATCAAATTTTATCCGATTCCAAAGTGGCATACCTCCAAAGACTTGTGGTTTGATTCTCTAAAAATCTGCATTCAAATTTTTCATTTTAACGTTGGTCCAATTTTTGACCTATTTTCATGTCATTTATTTCCAAGTTTCCGATGTGTTGTTAAAAGGTGGCCCACAACAGGACTTGCGCAGTCCATAACTTTATCAAATTTTATCCGATTCCAAAGTGGCATACCTCCAAAGACTTGTGGTTTGATTCTCTAAAAATCTGCATTAAAATTTTTCATTTTAACGTTGGTCCAATTTTTGACCCATTTTCATGTCATTTATTTCCATGTTTCCGATGAGTTGTTAAAAGGTGGCCCACAACAGGATTTCCGCAGTCCACAACTTTATCAAATTTTATCCGATTCCAAAGTGGCATATCTCTAAAGACTTGTGGTTTGATTCTCTAAAAATCTGCATTAAAATTTTTCATTTTACCGTTGGTCCAATTTTTGACCTATTTTCATGTCATTTATTTCCAAGTTTCCGATGTGTTGTTAAAAGGTGGCCCACAACAACTCTTCCGCACTCCACAACTTTATCAAATTTTATCCGATTCCAAAGTGGCATACCTCTAAAGTCTTGTGGTTTGATTCTCTAAAAATCTGCATTCAAATTTTTCATTTTAACGTTGGTCCAATTTTTGACCTATTTTCATGTCATTTATTTCCAAGTTTCCGATGTGTTGTTAAAAGGTGGCCCACAACTGGACTTCCGCAGTCCACAACTTTATCAAATTTTATCCGATTCCAAAGTGGCATACCTCTAAAGACTTGTGGTTTGATTCTCTAAAAATCTGCATTCAAATTTTTCATTTTACCGTTGGTCCAATTTTTGACCCATTTTCATGTCATTTATTTCCAAGTTTCCGATGTGTTGTTAAAAGGTGGCCCACAACTGGACTTCCGCAGTCCACAACTTTATCAAATTTTATCCGATTCCAAAGTGGCATACCTCTAAAGACTTGTGGTTTGATTCTCTAAAAATCTGCATTCAAATTTTTTATTTTAATGTTGGTTCAATTTTTGATTTATTTTCATGTCATTTATTTCCAAGTTTCCGAAGTGTTGTTAAAAGGTGGCCCACAACAGGACTTCCGCAGTCCACAACTTTATCAAATTTTATCCGATTCCAAAGTGGCATACCTCTAAAGACTTGTGGTTTGATTCTCTAAAAATCTGCATTCAAATTTTTCATTTTACCGTTGGTCCAATTTTTGACCCATTCTCATGTCATTTATTTCCAAGTTTCCGATGTGTTGTTAAAAGGTGGCCCACAACAGGACTTCCGCAGTCCACAACTTTATCAAATTTTATCCGATTCCAAAGTGGCATACCTCTAAAGTCTTGTGGTTTGATTCTCTAAAAATCTGCATTCAAATTTTTCATTTTACCGTTGGTCCAATTTTTGACCCATTTTCATGTCATTTATTTCCAAGTTTCCGATGAGTTGTTAAAAGGTGGCCCACAACTGGACTTCCGCAGTCCACAACTTTATCAAATTTTATCCGATTCCAAAGTGGCATACCTCTAAAGTCTTGTGGTTTGATTCTCTAAAAATCTGCATTCAAATTTTTCATTTTAACGTTGGTCCAATTTTTGACCCATTTTTATGTGATTTATTTCCAAGTTTCCGATGTGTTGTTAAAAGGTGGCCCACAACTGGACTTCCGCAGGCCACAACTTTATCAAATTTTATCCGATTCCAAAGTGGCATACCTCTAAAGACTTGTGGTTTGATTCTCTAAAAATCTGCATTCAAATTTTTCATTTTAACGTTGGTCCAATTTTTGACCTATTTTCATGTCATTTATTTCCAAGTTTCCGATGTGTTGTTAAAAGGTGGCCCACAACAGGACTTCCGCAGTCCACAACTTTATCAAATTTTATCCGATTCCAAAGTGGCATACCTCTAAAGACTTGTGGTTTGATTCTCTAAAAATCTGCATTCAAATTTTTCATTTTACCGTTGGTCCAATTTTTGACCCATTTTCATGTCATTTATTTCCAAGTTTCCGATGTGTTGTTAAAAGGTGGCCCACAACTAGACTTCCGCAGGCCACAACTTTATCAAATTTTATCCGATTCCAAAGTGGCATACCTCTAAAGACTTGTGGTTTGATTCTCTAAAAATCTGCATTCAAATTTTTACATTTACATTTTTTGACCCATTTTCATGTCATTTATTTCCAAGTTTCCGATGTGTTGTTAAAGTCCACAACTGGACTTCCGCAGGCCACAACTTTATCAAATTTTATCCGATTCCAAAGTGGCATATCTCTAAAGACTTGTGCTTTGATTCTTAAAAATCTGCATTCAAAATTTTCGTTTTAACGTTGGTACAGTTTTTGACCCATTTTCATGTCATTTATTTCCAAGTTTCCGATGTGTTGTTAAAAGGTGGCCCACAACAGGACTTCCGCAGTCCACAACTTTATCAAATTTTATCCGATTCCAAAGTGGCATACCTCTAAAGACTTGTGGTTTGATTCTCTAAAAATCTGCATTCAAATTTTTCATTTTACCGTTGGTCCAATTTTTGACCCATTTTCATGTCATTTATTTCCAAGTTTCCGATGTGTTGTTAAAAGGTGGCCCACAACTGGACTTCCGCAGGCCACAACTTTATCAAATTTTATCCGATTCCAAAGTGGCATATCTCTAAAGACTTGTGCTTTGATTCTTAAAAAATCTGCATTCAAAATTTTCGTTTTAACGTTGGTACAGTTTTTGACCCATTTTCATGTCATTTATTTCCAAGTTTCCGATGTGTTGTTAAAAGGTGGCCCACAACTGGACTTCCGGAGCCCATAACTTTATCAAATTTTATCCGATTTGAAAGTGGCATACCTCTAAAGACTTGTGATTTGATTCCCTGAAAATCTGAAGTAATTTTTTCAATTTAACGTTTACCAATTTTTTCATGGATATTCATTTTGACATTTCAGGTTATTTAAGCTTCAGAATGCTTCAGTTTGCTTCCTTCTTTGTTTAGGACCATATATAATACGTTGTCATTAATAATTAAAACAATTATAAGCTCAGTGAACATTAAATACAGTGAATTTTTCAAACGACTTGTTTTTACGTATACGTTATATTTATTGGGAGTAATAGAGTGCTAGGAAATAAAGCCAATTAGCATTAAATGGCAAACTTTTCCTCATGTCGTGAGGCAAATATAAAGAGTTGTTAAAAATTGAAAGACAAATAACCTGCATTTTGAATATAAAGACAAAAGTATTGTTTTCAAATATTCCTCACTTGAGTGCAAATTAAAAAAAAACCGTATGTCACACAGTAGCACCCAGTCGATACCTAAATTACACATTCCGATTGAGCAACTAATTTAATTATTCGCACATGTCCATCGGATTTGCTCTCAGTTTACTCATACTAAAAATTGTCTCACTGTCTCTCTGTTTTTCTCTAGCTCTCTCTGTCTTTTCCCATAGCCCCTTCTCTTTCGCCTCTTATCAACCCCTCTCTTTCTAGTTGTGGGACTGCCTTCTATCGTCCGCCGCTCAGTTGTTGTACGGCTTTTGTTGCCATCGGACGTGACTTGTATTTATTTATTATTTTTTGTCGACGGGGCCAGCGAAAACGAAAACACTCGCCATAAAATAAACAAAAAACTATTTTTAGGCTGCAAATCTGAAATATATTTTCTCGATCAACTGCAGCAGGAGCATAGAACCTATAATAATGGACTGCAAATCGCGTCGCGGCACCAAAATCTCGGTGATCGCCTTGGGCAGTGCCCTCTGTTTCGTGATGATGGCATACTTTGTGTTTGGTGATAGTAACGACGAACAGGGTTTGCGGAATCTACGCATGATATCCATAGTAAGCTGCAGCCACGGCTAGCATAAGCCATAATATGTAGTAAACAAAGGAAACTGAGTACTGTGTTTATCAATCCACCAGCTGTTTCGACACGGGGCCAAGAATCCGAGTGGCTTCTTTCCATTGGATCCACATGCAGCGCACGATTGGCAAGGCGGCATTGGAGCCCTTACACCGGTTCGTAATAGATACAGTAGAGCTTCAGTAGTCACAATCTTTAAATGGTTAGATACAATCGATTTCATTTTGGTACCTAACAAAACCTCTTCAATTGTCTCACATAACAGCTCGCAACTAATCTATAAAAGTGTTTTTATCAATATTATGAAAGCCAGAATAATATTTTTCAATTGGTTTCTACTTGATTTACAGCTTTTTATCTACAATCATTAAAGTCCAATGACTATAAATAGTATCATTTAAATACAAGAATTTCAATTAGGTTTTTAATAGCTCAGTCAAGTCATAACACTCGAATTGCCAAGCCCAGTTGCAACTACATATGTTAATAGAACTGCTTTTCCATTAATTTGTTTCGAATTAATATTCAATTTTCTGCTTCCGATTGAAACAAATAAATATTAAAATTTTGTATTGCTCAATTGTTGTAAATCATATGGCAATAGTTACAGAAACTCGGTTTTTCTGTTTTTATTTATAAATATATCAAAAATATTTATACATGAATTCTAAAGAAAATAAGTATGAAAAACTTCTGAATAAGTAAATACTTTCAGAGGTATACAAACCAAATTTGTATTATTATATACATATGTAGCAGAAAAAAAGTAATTTCAAATTCGTCTGGCTGGAAATTAACTTACATTACATCCTTTAAGTCTTATGGCATTTTGGATACCAAATGTGGTAAAAGTGTGTGATAGTAAAGTAAACATAAATTGTTATATGTTAATGTACTATATATTTGTGACTTTACAATTATTTCTTCTCTCATAGAAAGGCAGTCTGCAGGCATACAACCTGGGGAGGAACCTGCGCATGCGGTACTACCGGCTGCTGCCCTCGAACAGCCTCTACACGCAGCAGCAGGTGCACGTCCTCAGTTCGGCGGCGGAGCGGTGTGTGGTGCGTCAATCGTTCTGATAAGAAACCCTCTATTGGGTCTATAACCCTAGAGATGGGGGTGCCCTAATCAGTTGGCCGTGTGTTATCTTTTAGATGAGCGCCCAGAGCGTCTTGGCCGGCATGATGCCGCCGCTGGAGAACAACAATGTGCTGCCCATTCCCTGGCAGCCGGTGGCCGTGAATACGCTATCGCGCAATGATGATATTGTGAGTGCAATCTTGTTACCATAAACCATGTTGCAAGTCATTATATAGTACGATTACCCTTCCAGCTATTGGCCCAAAAGAAGCCCTGCTTGAAGTACGACAACATCCTGCAGAAACTCTACAAAACACCGCCAGCTGAACTCCAAAAACTGAACGAGGACAACTTGGAATTGTACAAGCTGTTAACCAAAAATACAGGCAAGGTGGGAGAGGCTGATTAAAAAGTTACATCAATGGCAGTTAATTCTTTTTTATCGTATTGCTTTTATTTATGCTGAAATAAGTACTTTAAAAAATATTTTGAAAAATATTTACTCTAAATCGGTATAGAAATTTCTGAATTTTTTAATTATATGTATACATATACATTTCAAATTTAAACCATGCTATGCTGTCGATACTTATATTATTTCCTTCTATCTTTTAATGGTTTTTATCTTATAGAACATTTCAAATGTACTGGATGTGGAGCTACTGTATGGCACTCTCAAAACCGAAGAGGAGGCTGGTCTGGTGCTGCCCGATTGGACTGAGAATATATATCCCGAGGAGATAAGACCACTGGCAGAGCGTAGCTATACGCTTTTTACCGAAACCAATCTGATGAAGCGGATTAAGGGTGGAGCCTTCCTCACAGAAATACTGTTTAAAATGCAGAATAAGCGAAAGAGAAACCTGAATCCGGATCGCAAAATATTTCTATATTCCGGGCATGATGTGACATTGGTCAATGTAATGAATTCCTTGGGAATACTGGATCAGACCACCAAGCTTCCCGAATATGCATCAGCCTTAGCGTTTGAGCTTCATCACAGCAAGTCATTTAGCGATGGTGACTTCGAAGTGAAGGTTGGTGATTGTCATTGTAATAAATCGTTGGTTTTTAATACTTATTATAATCTTTGCTGCAGTTGGTTTACTATTACAACAGCGAAGACAAATTCCCCAAGGAGCTGACCATTCCCAATTGCGATGCTCCGTGTTCGCTGACCCAGTTCGAGTCTTCGGTGAAGGCCCTGCTCCTGGACAACTATGATGAGACCTGCGAGAATCATCCGACTGACTGTAAAAACTGAGATTTCTTCCATTGTTAATCGTTCCTGATTGTTGAAAGTGTGTTGGTCTGGGGTGTAGCTTAGGTCTTTGGACATTTCTAAGAAATTTCCACTTTTTGTTTTGGGTAACTGGATGATGGTTATTGGGTTAATGGCAGAACATTTTACCGATTTGGTTTTCTCAGAAAGTAAACAATTTTTGATAAACCTAAAAGTAATTCAAAATACAATCAGGACTAGGGTAATTATCTCAAAAAGACAAATCTTTACGTTATCCTTTAAAAATCTCTACAAACTTTTAAACACCCCAATATGCTAAGTTGTTGCTCCATAAAATGTTAAACTTTTAATAAATATGTACATATTGAGACAAGAAGGCTATCTTTCACATTTCACATTTGGCTGCCTCTAAAATCAGGTCAAAAGCTGGCACCCTTGTCCTCGGCATATAGAAAATATATGGGAACTTTCACCGACTCGCTGACATGAACGATCTCTGTGTGACTAATTAGACGGATGGCAGCCAGTCCATAAAAGAGCATTGGTAAGCCTATGATCATACGATAAATAAAGTGTAATAGAGGGTTACTTTCTTAAAGACTGTCCTAATTCAAAATTCTATTATAGTTAGGATTTAAGTTTTGAAAGCTATATCCCTCTATTGAGTTATGACAGTCTTTTAGAGCGCAACCAATATGATAGACTTACCCAAATTGATAACCTTCAGGAAGCGAAAGAATTTGTCCTCTAGCCAGAGGTCCTGAACCTCCCTCTTGCTACAGTGATACTTCATATACGGATAGCAGGCGGTGCGCAGAATGTGGTAGTTGGTTCCACTGTCCAGAGTCCAGTTGAAGTGGGACATTCCCCTCTGATCGTTGGCCACATCCCGGAACTAGGTTTACCATCCTTTAATTTATTTATAAGCAAGAAGGAACATCCTACCTTTACGAAATATGATGTCCAGGGTGGCTCATGGCATTGTTTCAAATATGCGGTCAATACTTCCGAGGCTCGAGGCTTCAGTAAAAGGCGGGTGAGCTGCATCCTAATTAAATTTATGACTTATTGCATCACACAAAATAATAACAATTGAGCTGGGACTATTTTGTTATTATTTTGTACGCTGTTATCGAATTTCCAGCTGTTCAACAATCGATAGTAGCAGAAATAGAAGTATAGAGCTGTGCACTATTCCTTATCACAGAAAAATAGCTGAAACTCAATTTAATAATAGAAAATTAAAAAAAATAACTTTTTAAATTTCAATGTTTGCATAACCGTAATAAAAAATTTTTAAAAATCTTTATATGATAGGAATCTGTTCTAATTAAAAATAAAGTGGAATGATGCTGAGGTTTAGTTAGTATTCACTTAAATTTATTTCATTTTATTATATAAAATTTCTTCAAAAACATTTAAACAAATTAATTCAAAATAAATTTATAAATTTTTCTATCTTTTTATAGATTGACAAATTTAAAGATACATATAGCCATAAAAAAACTATTTTTACAACTTGGGGTTGTATCTATCGATTGCAGTGTAGCTATCGCTAGCTTAGCGCGCTTGATTTGAATTTAAATGCATTCGAAATTTAATATTGAGATATATCTTTAAAACCACCGTATATTTTTAGCCTTTCGGCAGTTAGAAGCACCAGCAAGAACACCCGGCTGACGGAGCACTTTACGCTGGACGAGCAGGTGGTCAACGAGGAGCTGTTGCAATATGAGGAGGGTTCGATGGAACGCACAGCACTGGAAACCGCTCTGCTGGGCGTTCTCAAGAAGGTAGAACACGTACCCATCGTGATTAATGGCCAAGAGTACCAGGCCAAGGAGGAACTTCAACAGGTATTGCCCTACAACATCCAGCAACCCATAGCTCACTATGGCCACGCCCACCGCGTCCTCATCCAAATGGCCATCGACAAGAGTCTGGAGGCTCAAGACCAGTGGGATAGGACTAAACTCAGCGAAAGGATTGACACCTGGGAACGGGCAGCGGAACTGATTGCCGGAAGACACCGGTACAACATCATTGCGGCCACCATGTTGGGCCAGGGAAAAACCCTTCGTCAGGCGGAAACGGATGTGGCCGAATTGGTGGACTTTATGCGCATCAATCCTGTGTTCCTGCGAGAACTGGCCAACTATGAACCCATTAATGGAACGTTACGGGAGTGCAGGAATTCCATGCGGTTGAGAGGACTTTCAGGTGCAGTTCTATAGAAATACCTCTGTTTTCATTCAATATTTATATCCTTTTATTTCCAGGATTTGTGGCCGCCATTAGTCCCTTCAACTTCACGAGCATTGCCGGCAATTTGGCCTACACACCGGCCTTGATGGGCAACTCTGTGCTTTGGAAGCCCTCCGATTCGGCCATCCTCTCCAACTATTTCGTCTTCAAGGCCATGCAGGAGGCGGGTGTGCCCAAGGGGGTGGTGAACTTTGTGCCCGCCGAGGAGACGATTTTCGCATCCGTCGTAACGCAGCATCCAAAGCTGGCGGGTATTAATTTCACTGGCACTTCCAATGTGCTCAAAGTGCTCTGGCAACTGGTGGCCCAGAATATCAACTACTACGAGAACTATCCGCGTTTGGTGGGCGAGGGAGGGGGCAAGAACTTCCACTTCGTACATCCTTCGGCGGATCCGGAAATGACTGTGGCCTGTACTATTAGAGCAGCCTTTGAGTACTCCGGCCAGAAGTGCTCCTCCTGCTCGATGTTATATGTGCCGGAATCACTGTGGGAGGATCACATCAAGGAGCCCCTACTAAAAGTCACTTCCTCACTGTTCGTGGGGCATGCCACCTACTGCGACTGCTTCTGTTCGGCTGTGATTAATCGGCGGGCCTACGATCGCATCTACATGTGGCTGAGATATATCGTTCAGAGTCCTAGTTGTCAGGTTTTGATCGGAGGAACCTGTGATAAGAAACGCGGTTACTATGTGGATCCCACGGTGGTGCAGGTGAAAGATCTGGATAATATCATATGCCGGGAAGAGCTTCTAGCACCCATTTTGGGTGTCTACGTGTATCCGGATAGCAAACTCAAGGAGACCATGGCCAAGGTGGCCGAGATCAATCATGGATTGGCTGGTTCAGTGTTCGCCAAGGATCAGAACTTTATACAAGATGCCTACGAGGCCTTCAGATTCAATGTGGGCAACCTCAATGTGAATGACAAGTCCACCGGTTCGATGGTGGGTCAACAGCCATTTGGAGCGGGTCACTTGACCGGTACCAGCGATAAGTTGGGAACGCCCCACTGTCTCCTGCGATGGACTTCACCCCAGGTGATCAAGGAGTCGTACAAGCCACATGTGAATATCTATTATCCGTATATGCAGGTCAACGAGCAAAATCGGGTCGTCATTCCTATGGAGAGCGAGCAAAAGGAGGCGGTTGCTCAGGATAACAACTCTATTGTGGCCTCCAGTGAAGAGGACAAGCCCCTCATATAACATCTTATTAGAGCTTTTAATTCAAAGTCCAAATTTCTGTTGCAATAAATTACAAGAAAACTTTAAATGACTTCTTATTTTTTACGTATTTAAGGTAAAGTTCTAATAATTCCACCCAAAATTTTAACTTCTACTTCTAGAAACTAAATCTAGGTATAAGTACATTCATAATTTTAAAGTCGTAAAGGTAAAATAAGGTATTTATTCAAACCTGCCTATCTTAATACTTTTGGAAATAACATCAAATATGCTAAGTAGTTACACAGGATAAACACAACCCACTTAAATGATATACTGCAAAGTCCTAGCAAAAACATGAGATGTCTAGATATCTTCTTACGATTTCGTGTTTTCTTTTGATACGGATCTCAGTTCCCATCAGCTCCACGTCGGTAGAAGTTCAGAAGCTCAATATGCCCTTCAAGGAGGCCGCCACCTGGTCGAGAATGCTGGATGACATGGGTCAGTCCCATGTCCACAGACTATACAATGCATATCGGGATCGTTTGAGAGGCGAGGGCGATGATGTCGAAGGTGAGGTAAAAATAAGTGCAATGGAATTGAAAGATGTTGCTAGGAAATCAACTGAGCCCAAAGCTTTAGAAAGGGCTGCTTTAGAAATTCCCATTTTCTCCGATGACTGGCCTGTTTCACGGGAAAAACCAATCGAACCCATTGCCAAAGAAAAAGATCCCCCCATTATCAAATACGATGCCACCGATGATCAGCCACATCCATCAGGAAAATGCCTTGCCCGTCTTCCAATTCAGAGTAGAGCAAATCAAAGTGATATAGTAAAACCAAAGGCTAAAGCTCCTTTGGTAAGTAGTGTGATTATACTAAAAATGGATGTGCCGGAAAAAATGCTAAGAGTAAAACCGCCAGAAAAGATGAAGGATCCTGGTGAGCGTCGAATCTTCGAACTAAATCGTATATACAACGAGTTTTTGAAAGCCTGGCAACAGCCTGTTCAAAGTTTACCCGCCAAGACTGAAACCCCAAACAAAGTCACGAGCTCTTTAGGATCACAGACGATTGAGTGCACTATTCGAATTAATGGATGTGGTGGAGCGACTTCAAAAGAGCGATTTGGTTAAAGAATTGGCCCAAAAGATTAACGAGGAAATGGAACCCAATCTGCAGAATCAAATCAAGCAGGATGCTCTTCTGGTAACAGAAAGTAGAGCCTCATTGAGAGCTATTAAAAAGAATGATCTTTCCGGGATCTTTGAAAATGTGGAGCCCGGAAGCGCTTCCATAGCGTTCAAGAGAATGTTGGATGATATTAACTCCAGAAGATCAACGATCAAAGCTGGTGGACTGTACGATGAGTACAAGAAGGGTTTTTGTGAGCTATTCAGCAATCAAAAATTTCCCAGGGAGTCGCTGATTACCAGCGAAGCGGATTATCCTTTGGATAGCGAAACGAGTCGAAAAAATAATGACAATTTCCCCTGTCGGTGTGATAACTCAAAACCAACTCCCTTAAGAACTAACCAACCAGAAGATAAGACCCAAAGCAAAGTCAGTGCGCCGGTTGCAAATGCCAAACCAAAAATGAAGTATCTAAAGGCCCTGGAAACATATGTTAAAATGAACAAGGAGACTAACCAAAACGGCGGTGTTGTTACGGTTGAAAATCCGAGGACAAACATAAACTATCTGAAGGCCCTGGAAACCTTTCTTAAAATGAACAAGGAGAGTAACGAGAACGGCGGCTTAAAGCCTTATTATTTACCAAATTCTAAAAATCGTCAGCTTGTTTGGAATGACATCCCCCTGATTAAACCAGGTCTCAGTGAATCGCCCAAGAAAACTTTGGAAAGTAAACCGAAATATAAGCCTTCTAGCACACCCATCAAAGAGAATGTTGTGCCTGAAAAGGAATCCAAGAAAGAACAGAATTTTAAAACTATTCCAAAACAAGAGACTAAAGGAGTTCACCAGTGTACACCGAAGACTGAGACTAAATTGGAGCAGGGTTTCTCAAAAGCTGAAAGTAAAGGCGAGCAGTGTATCCCAAAATCAGAGAATAAATTGGAGCACGGTAGCCCGAAATCTGAAACTAAATTGGATCAGGGTATCCCAAAAACTGAGACTAAAGCCCACTCCATTAATCCCTGGCAAGATGTTTTCTCAGGACTGGATCCAAAACAAATAATTAGCGGATTGAAGGCCATCAAACAATCTTCCTTCTTCAACCTGGCTGATGAGTATCAGAAGCAAATCGACAACCTTAATCAGGCATTGAAAACGAAGCAAAGTTGGTGGAAGGAGGTTGTGGAGAGGGGCAAAGCTCCTGTCAGGACACCCATGAAAAGGAATGTACTCATGAATAATGCCCCAACTGGATCCGCTATGCCAGTGCCATATCCCGAGGTTCTAGTCAATCAGGCTCCACAAATGAATTGCCATAACGTCATTGATAACATGGCCTCTCAAATGAATCTTTCACCTTTGGAGATGGCTCAGAGAATTGTGGGAACTAGTCAAAATACTGCATTCAATTCAGGAGCTGGTCGAGTTGGATTCGTGCAAACTAACATACAACCAGGTAAGTTGGTAAACATAAGGTTAAGTTATTTTGACTTATAAATATCCTTTAAAAGCTAGTCAGATCGGAAGTGGCTCCAAGAAAGGACAAGGTTTCATGTGCCAAGTACCATGTCAACCAATGGGTCAACAGCCACAACCCCAGCAACAACAAGATTCCCCGGAGCAAACGGAGCAAACGGGGATTTCCCCGGTGCTAGACAAGATCCTCCAGCGTTTGGAGAACATTCAGGCCACCAAATGCAATCAGACGACAGAAGAGGTGTCGGAGAAGGAACTGCCCTGCTGTTTTGTGGATCCAGCTGATGGTAAGATATTAACTTTGAGCTAGGATATATAACAATTTGATTAATTCAGGTGCCCCGTGTGATCTGAATGGCTCCTGGGAATCTCTCGTCCTGGGAGTTCGCATAAATATCCGATCCAACTCTACAACGACTGATCAAGGGGAGGAAAAGCCAAAGCCCACCTGTTCGCAACACAAAGCTAGTCGTGCCCGTCGCAGATTTCTGCGGCAGTGCGTCAAGATGAACAAGACTCAGTTGAAGGAGATCGCAGAGGTCAACTCACCCAAACAACGCGGTGTGTCCTTAAATATTAGTGTGCAGGATACGGTTCCACCGAGAGCCCACGATCTCCTGGAAAACCTCACCGACTGGAGCTTCTCGGGTCATGCCTCAATGATCCTCGGCGGACCCATCTCAATCTCCTTTCGCAAGGAGAACTCCAACCTGATTGGACACTTTGTTGGCTACTGTCGTACCTGCGGCTGTGTGGACACCATTTTCGGGTCCTGGACCTTTTGTCAGCCATCGCGGGATTGCCAGGATATCTGTATGTCTATTGTGGACCGGCGGGACATGCTGCGGCGGTACAGCATGGATGAGCGGCGAAAGAATCGATTCAAGGAGCAGCTCTACATAGGCAGCAAGTTCGCCAAGATGGAAAAAGAGCGACTGCGTGCCGAGCAGGAAAAGTACGAAAAGCTTCGGTACCAAATTCAGGGCGAAACTGATGCCAATACTCCTAGTCCTAAAAGTCAAGGCGGTTCCAAAAGTTGATTTCATTTAATTTTTTATTTGGATTTCGTTGTATTTTAATATTTTTTTTATAAATCGGTTCTATTAAGTTTGCTCATATACTGAATTTAAAAAATCGTTTAAAAGGAAATATTTTTGAAAATATTGAATAAAAAATATCAATAAAAAAAAAATGGCTTTTATAACTGCTTCTTTGTCTTATTATTTTCGATTATTTTTCCTAGGAACTAACACAGTTCCCCAAAACCAAAGTTTTCATTTTTTCAAGTTAATGTTCCCAATTTAATTTGTTACGCACACGTATTTTACAAACGATTTTCTTGCCTCTTCTGGTGGTGAATGAAGGACATGGTGGCACCAATCGAACGTCCAACACAATGCTGATCCATTTGTCCATCCTGGATGCATTGCCTCAATAGTCCTACCGCGTATTCCTTGATCTTGGATTTAGTTTCGTCATTGTCGATCCGTTCCAGTCGCCTATCCACCTTGTGCATTAGGACGTAGGCCTCGGGATAATGAGCCACTTCGTAGGGCCACCAAAAAGCATCCTGCTGAGCCAGGGATGAAGTGGTATCCCGTTGTGCCAGATAATCCTCCCCAGATCCATAGATGGTGTTGGCCTGGACGAGAGCCAGGGCCGAGATGAGTAGAATCACCAGAGTAGAGGCCATTGCAACGACTGCTGTTAAACTGTGAAAATTCATTCAATACCTAAGCCTTTTATAGGCCTTAAATGACAACAAACAAGCGCGGAAAAAAGGGCTTTGTCACCACATTGTTGCTATTCAGACACGAGCATCTCACTTATTTACAGGGTCAACGCAGGTCACTGATTAACAGGCTATACTAATAAATAAATTTAATTATTGATAAGCTACATCAAGGCCATAATGTTTGGAACGATCAGGAAAATTATCAATATTCTTATCAAACAAAAAAAAAAAATAACATTCCAAATAAGTTAGCGAACAAATAAGAAAAAAAAAATGCATAAATAGTTAAAAAAAGAAAGAAAAAACCAACCTAAACAAAACCAGTGCATTGATCAACATAAAGATAAGCCAAAATGTAAATGAAGAACCACAGAAACAACAACAAACACAAGTAGCATTGATCAAATAAGACAGCAGATAGTCGGCCATGGCACTATATCCGAAGGAAAAAGAAAGTAACAAGCTAACAAGTGCAGAAACGACAGACGGACAGACGGCAGACGGACGAGGACATGCTAACAACTCAGGAGGGATGAAAAAAACTTAAGGTCGGAGATGTCCCTCCGCGTGCACACTACCAAATAAATACCCCCAAGGTAAAAAATACAAAGTATTGTTTCCAAAATGACTCATTAAATATATTATTTTCTTAGAATATAGTTTTCCCTAAATGCATAGCAATTTTTCTTATGCATTTAATGTACAAAGGGTCGTTTTTAAAATATCAAAATATGAAAAATATCACTTCTTTTTCTTATCGATTTTATTGGTAATCCAGTCCACGATTTCCTGTCGTAAATAAGTACATAATATAAAAAGTGTTTTAATAATGTGGATCTTCACTTACCTGAATTCCAGCGCCTGTCTGCATGGAACATTCTTTAATCGTCCAATCCCGACCCTCTAAGCGATCTAGACCCATCAAATCGATTACTGTGGACATGGGCAGAGATCCCGAAGTGTCCTTTTTATTGGACAGGATTAGCAGAGGAGTTCTATTAAGCTCATGATGCATCAGGACATCGCATAATACGCAACGAGCCTCGCTTAGGCGCACTGCATCCTTGCTGTCCAGTATAAAAATCTACGTTTCTAGGATTACAGTCAGATCTATTACCCTTAAGACATTTTCTTACCAAGACCTTTGCTTTCTGGTAATAATTGGGCCACATCTGCCTGTTCTTCAGATCCCCGTTAATATCCCACAACTGAACTTTATAATTATTGATTATGAGGGTCCACTCACTGACCTGCTTGTTAGGTTCCTTGGACTGCAAATATTCTAGGGTAAGAGTTTGAAAGAAGGTAACAAGCTAGTCTTACTTCGCCATTATAAATTTCCGACAGGCGGGCAGTCAAGGTGGATTTCCCAGCATTATCTAACCCTAGGATAAGCAGACGGGATCTATGTGAACCCGTGGGCAGGATCTTTTTGATGAGCGAAATGGGTCCGTAAAAACACATGGGGAATGGAATGTTGTGTGTACCTCTTTTCACAAATGTTTTCAGTAATAAAATATAGTTATTTGGTAGAAATATAGGATTTACAAAGCAATGCCTTCTACGTTCCGATAATCATTATTACATTTTCCTGTAAGAAGGATGTACTATTTCCTGGTATAATAACATTTTTTGAAGTTTGTATTTCTCATTAGCATAACAAATATTTATAATAATAGAAAAGGTTTGCCTTTTTGTATAGTATTTATTTAAAAAGAACAATGTTCTTTACAGGGAGCAAGATAAAATTGAAATTAAAACAAATAAATAGTAATAAATAAGAAATAAGTCTTAAATTAGAGATTAAATCAGTTGCAATATTGAGGTGACATTATAATTACGTATATTTATGAATTCGATCTTAGGAAAAACTTAACAGGCGAAGGTTCCGATAATTAAGATTACTTCTTCATGTTTTTGCAGACCCAGTCCATTCCCTCCTTGAGACCAGTGCCATCTACAGCGGTGCACCCCTTGATTTCCCAGGTGCGACCCTGCAGTTGCACCAAACTCATCTTTTCGGCCACCTCGGAGGCTGTCATGGCATCCGGCATGTCCTGTTTGTTGGCGAAAATCAGCACTGGAATCTGTTTTAGCCGGTTGTCCATCAGCATCTCGAACAGTTCGCTGCCCGCTTCAGGAAGTCGAGCCCGGTCCGTACAGTCAATTACGTAGATCTGAAATAAGCAAATGATTTGAGTAAGCAATACATATTAAAATCAATTATAGTCTCACCAGCACGTCAGTATTGGCAAAGTAGTTCTTCCAATATGGCCTGATCTTCCATTGTCCCCCGATATCCCAAACATTCAGCTTGAAACCATCGGCTGCCACGGATTTGATGTTAAATCCGGCCGTGGGCGTTACCTGCGGGGTTTCACTCCGTATTTTATGGGGAAATCGAAAGCATTTCGCGGCCCTCATACGCACCGTGGTAATGTCCTCCGAGGCCAGTTGCTTCAGTATCGTAGTCTTGCCCGCATTATCCAATCCCAGGAGCAATATGCGAGCCTCCTTTTCCGGATTGGGTCTCAGTTTACGCAACAGCGAAAGTAGACCCTAAAATATTTCTAATATTAGTCATTGTTTGCTTTAAGAGATACAATTTTAGTCAATGTTAGAAGAGAAACTCCAGAAACAAAGTATAACCTGATTTGGTTTGCTCCTAATAGTCTCGATAGAATTGTTCTCTGAAAAAAACCTTGAAATGATTAATGACACAATTGCCACTTCCAAATGCAAGATTATGAATGGGAGTTGGACTAACGATTTTAGTTGAGAAAATAAATGGTTTTTGTGTGTTTTTTGTTTATAGAAACAAAAAGAGGCTAGAAAGAAAAAGGTGCACCTGCTGATAGATAAGAAATAGCTTATCAATTTTTACACTATTACAAAACTAATTTGCTTGAATTGTGATAAGTGAGTGCAACAGAAGCATTCAATAATTATGGTTTTAAGGTAATGGGTGCTACAAGTTTTATTGGCCAAATTATATGAAATAAATGATTATTACTTTGTGAACACAATAACAGTGAGAGTGAGATTTATATTGAAATTGGGAAAACATTTTTTTGTTTTGCAACCAGACATATATTATTGAATGACTTTGAACAAATATTGTTAATAACTGAAAGGGTAAAACTGTTATCAACTGTAGCTTCTTGTTTTTCCGAACCACCTATTTTTTTGAATGGCGATAAGTTCGCGCCAAAACTAGGGTATTAGTGCTGGAAAAAGTTCTTTTGGAAGCGCAGCCAACATAACGAAGTAGTGTTGTAAAGTTTTGGGGTTGGTTTCCATAACAACGATCGCGAAATGAAAACAAACCGAGCAATTACGGAATAACAAGGCACTTAATTGGCTGTTACGGAACCGGGAGATAACCTACCATCCTATAATCAACGAGGGAACGGAGGTCGGAACGATCTGCGTCACTATAACTATATTTCTTGGATCCGATAATCCGATAATACGGTGGCTGCCCGGCGACGGAGTCTTCTGGTGGTCAAAGTCGGGAAAAGTTGGGGTTTCCAAGAACTGGATCAACCACCAAACACAACATCACAGGTTCAGCGCTGCACAACTACTAAAAACAGATACAAATTCGCTCAACGCTCCAACAAATTCCGGCAACAACAACCAAGCGTCGCCGAGCAACCGCTGCAAAGGAGTGAAAGAGAGGGCCGAGCGGTGGCGGCCAAGTGGGTGGGGGAGCGGAATTGGAATTGGAACGGGAAGAAGATGCCGCTGCTATTTACGGGCTTCAACGCATTTGGCCAGCATGAATGTATCAGCAGAGACGTCGACTGCGCAGCCGGCTTCAGCGGTTTGTAACCGGCAACAAAAGCCGACGATCATTTACTTAGTTCCCTACAGTAGACACTAGCTAACTCAAATCAGAAGCTTGCTTCGGCAGGTCACAGCTTACATCATGAAGCAGCTCTTCACTAAAGCTAGCCTATTTTTATAAAACTTAAGTCTGATTTCTAGACTCTACCGTAGGATAAATGCAGATTATCAACATAGGATTTATAAATTTAAAACCTACATTTATAATATATTTTATTTATTTGTTAACCAATAAAAAAGTGTAGAAAATATTCACTTATCAATGCTATTATTGAAGAGGTCCCACTGTACGCATACTAATTCAATGCTGCCTTTATTACAGAAATAAATGCGCCGGTCTCGACTCAGAACCAGTGCACGATTTCGATCGGTTTTCGGTATGCGGCCCTCGCCTTTGGCAGGAAGTTGTGGCTGCGTGGGCTATTGGATGATGGCCCAAATGAGTGCGTGACCCTCAAGGCGGCGGGGGACATTAAAGCCCTGGCCGCTGGCGATTCCCACTGCCTGGTGCTACTAGAAAGCGGTCAACTGTATCGGGTGCAACCCAAACTGCAAGCGGAACTACTAGTTGTCAGACTAGAAGCTCCACCCCGATCCAATTCGGGAACAAAGCGCTCTTTTTTTGGGGCTCCCAAGGCGCCCTCATCGCCGATCATCGAGCACATTGCCTGCGGATCACATATAAACGTAGCGGTCAGCTCGGAAAACGCCGTGTTCAGCATTCCCAGCTGCCTGCACCAGTTTGCCGAGCGCCAGTTCCGGGTGAAGCAGCTCCAATGTGGCCATGAACACGCCGTGCTCCTCAATGTCAATGGTGATGTATTCACCTGGGGAAATGGACTGTAAGTGAGGTCATGAATGCTCTTGGTTGTGCAAAAATACCTTTGCGGAAAGTCTGTTATTTTCGCCGGAAGTTTGTCAAGTATTAGGGGAACATTAGAGCTGTTTTTGGGTCTTATTTTGGAAAATAATCTAGAATTATTAGCGATAAGCTTTAAATATTCACATAATAAGGAGAAGTCATAAAATTTAGTGTAAATATTTTCAGAACATATCTAAGAAAAAGCTGGTTTTTATCAAATAAGCAATTTTATCAAACTTTTAGTTACATAAAACATAATTTATTTTCCTGTAAGGGTATTTAAAGATTTGAAGCAGTAATCTAACGATTTGCCTAATCTAATTTCTTACTATTTCTGCACACTCGTGTCATAATTAACAGGCGCGGACAGTTGGGTCAGCCCGTGCTCAAAGTGGAGGAGACGCCACAATTGATGGAAGCGCTGGCGGGGATTAAGGTAAATATTTACGTTGTCTACTTATCTTAGAGTGACAATATGAAGTGCCTTGCAGATAACTCAAATAGCAGCCGGTGGTTGGCACAGTGCGGCCATATCCGCCTTCGGAGACCTCTACACCTGGGGCCTCAACTGCAGTGGCCAGCTGGGCATGCGTGTGATGAAACCAGGCGGCTTCCTAAAAGAGCCCACTGTTTATCCGCTGCCGCAGTTGCAAGATCTGCCCGAATGTGGTTGCTCCAAAGAGGCAAAGAGCAATGAACATGATGATGATGACTGTGCACCGCTGAGGGTGTTCGCTGGATCTCGTCACACTTTGCTGACCCGGCGGTGCGGGCGGCTATGGGCCAGTGGTTGGTGCCAGCACGGTCAGTTGGGAACGCAGCTCCAAAACCGGTCTTATATGGACGCATTTCAGGCCCTTGATGGAATCAGGTTGAACACTTGCTCCGATGATGTTCTCTGCGGTCCTTGGTCAACGCTGCTCTCTTTGAAAGGATCAGGGAATTGAAAAATAAAACAGGCTGTGAATCCTAAATGGAAATTGGTATTGAAAAGGCCACAAAACATAATTAACTTAATATTTTACAAAGTTAAGAGGGTAAGTTTAATATTAAAAAAAAAATAATAATAATTAATAATTTGTTTTGTTATTGATAAAAAGGATAGGTAATATTCTTATTAGAAATTTGTTTTAAAAAGCTTTGCAGTTTTGTAAGCTTTAGTTGTTAGCACAGCAAATACAAGCACCAATTTACTTTCGACTTGCATATTTTTCGGCGGGTGAAAACATGTAGAAATGATTTACCTCACTATTGCTTGTAAAATAAGTCGTTTTTTTTACTGTAAAATATTTTGTTAATTTTGAATTTAATTTAAAATGATTTTCTTCAAAATATTAACTGACCTTTTACGATTTTTTTTTAAATATCCAAGATACTAGTGCAGATCTCACTTGGTCAAATATTTGATCTATTTTTGTTATGTAACAATTAGCTAATTTTAATTTAATTACCATTACAATATATATTGTAATCTTCCAATTGTTTTTTAATTTATTTTTTGTCGGCTTAAGCGTCCCAAACAAAACCCTATATCGATTACTTTTGCTCCCTGTATTCGATGTAGATTTGGATTAGGTTATGCTTCGTAGGCGTTGGAATAAGTGTTTCTTTTGAGTAAATCGAAATTAATAAAATCCAACTAAAGGCTAGAGGTGAAGAGAACCGTGGGGATGGCGTAAGTTGAGGTGGCAGGGTGTTGTCCCTCGGCCTGTATTCAACTTTCCCGATTCTCAGTCCCAGCGTATTCATCGTCCTGTTCTGGCGTCTGTCCGTGCAACTCCTTTACCCGTACGGATACATGGACTGTTCGCTGCAGGAAGCTCTGGGTAATGAGAACCTAATATGGAGCAAGGGGGATCGGATAGAGGTGCAGCTTTTAATGCTGATGCGGGACTCCTTTCGGACCACGATCGTGCTCGTGATGATGATGGAGATGCTGGCCTGGCTGGACGCAGCCCTGAATCTTCCAATGGCCCTGGCCGCCAGACTTTAGTCTCGGGAGTGAACTCTGTCCCTGTTCAGTTCTCGCACCATTTCATTTAGTGCCCCATCAAAACAACAGTACTCAAATAATTTCGTCTTGGGGTAGGACCGCCATTGTGCCAACGTTCGTCGTCGACGTCGTCGCTGCCCATTTAATCAGTAAATTGTATTTTTAAAAATGTTATTAAACAATATTTGCCTTAGCAAAAGTCAGACGCTCACAGTGCAATAAACTTCAGCACTTGAGCCGCTCGACTGACTGATTGACTGATTGACCGAACGACTGACGTTGGGATTTTTTCTTTGTTTTAACTTAAACTCGGCGCGAACTCGTGATTATTTCGATTTCGTGGAAGTGCGTTCCACGCGAAGGTTTCGATCGGAATTTCATGCGTGGCATATGGGTTATATTATTTCTGATTACAGTTCAATTGATTGCTTCTTTGATAGCATAGGCCTTCTTAAAGTGCTATTTTTTCTGAATTTTATATGGTTCGGCGAATTGTTTCCAAGGGATTACGAAAATGTAAGCATTTTATAATGGGTACTTAAGTTTCTTTTTTTTACACATTTATACACATCATACTTTTATGAGTGGTTATAAAAAGAACAATTAGGTTTAAAGGTTTTAAAGAGTTTAATCCATTTTAGTTTCAAAATAGTTATTTCACCTTAATTTGACTTAAATATATAATATGCATTGTCTTGAAGAATATATGTAAGAATTACAAACAAATGTGAGTTATTCCAATTTTCATTTATAATATTTATAGATTGCCTCACGACTGTTAAGTTAATGTTTATAGTTGTTTTCTTACATTAGTCATATCCAGCCCCCTTATTGTAAATCATTTGCCTTTTTCAGATATTTTCTGTCCGTCAAAATTAAAATATTTTTAAGTTTTTCCTAAGATACATTTCCCAAGAAAACTAAATTTTAAAGAAAGCTTTCTTTATTTTGGGGCAGATCTTTTACTTTTTAGAAATATTCGCTCCCGTAAAATCAATTTCTTGTAGCGTCTTTAATCGTCGTCGCAGCCCCATCAATTATAAATGCCTATATACATATACGTTCCCGATCCCATAAGCGAATTTTCCGCTGTATGGTCTGCGAGCGAGTTCAACGCTTTTATGTTATTTGCCAAATGAAAAAGTAAAAAACAAATGTTTATCTTATAATGCACTGGGTGGCAGTTCAGTGGAGTTCTGGCGACACGCACACATGGTGCGTAAATAGGCTTTGCTTTTGGGCTTTACTTTTTCATTTTATGACCGTTTTTTTTTTTTTCGTTGGCAAACTTTGTTATCATCAAAAAAAAAGAAACTCCCGGTGGAATATATGTAGTCTGTGCAAAAAAGGAAAACGGAGGGGGGGGGGGAGTCTTGTCAGTTTTAGGTCGCGAAACTATTTGCAGCTAGAAATTGCCACCGCACGGTGACTAAGAGAAAGAGAGGGCCAGATGAGTCCAGAAAGAGAGGGCGAGATCGCCGGGGAGTTCAAGCGCCTCGCTCAAGGCAATTTTTGCTGTCTGCAGCTTATCAGGGCAACTGGAACCACTCGGAGCAGCGAGTACGAAAAAGTGCTAATTGTAAGCCCCCCTTTTCGAGGCGTTTTCGTTACTCGAAAATTGTAATTCATGCGTGCCAGCAGACGCCAAAGTTTCAACAGAACTCAGTCAATCATAACCGACCGACAAAAAAGTGCCCAAGAACACTCCTCTTTGGCCCAGGGAGTCAGTAGCTGTCTGCACCTTCGGTTTGGGGAGTGTTTATGTTTGCCCTCTGTCCATGTCCATGTCCAAGAAGCAGATGGAGATGGAGATCCCTCCAAGTGCGTGCCACTCCGCAACGCTGAGCAGTGGCCACCAGTAGCCGATTCGGAGTCGGATCCATGTCCATGCTCGAAAGCCAAACAATCAACACCCGCCTCAATAAAAGTACAGGGAATTCTCGTAACTTGCTTCAAAATTTATGAAGGAAAGGCTAACAATTCAGGAAAATGTTATAACATTTAAAATAAATTACCTTTATGGGTGCAGGAAATAATTGTGAGGTGTTAAATTCATTTAATTGGTTATAACAGATTGGTAAATTTAAAAACTACATCTTCCTATTTGTTACATTTAGCGACCTTTCACTGTACTTGCTTGGGCCTTTTTTGTGAGTTGTGTGCGAAAACATCATCACTCCCATTTCCTGACCTACCTTGGCGCCTGGCCTGGCCAACACGTGTTTCCGTGGAGTGGGTGTATCTGTGTGCCCACAGCCTATTTGCTTTTGGGCGTACATTGAACCGCAAAGGCCCAGAACTCAGCGCCACCCCCAACTAATCATCACTTTGTTGCTGCGTTAATGACTCGCCTTGGATTTGCCAGCGCCAACTCCCATTGGAGCTTCCCATTTAAGTGGATGCACCAAAAAACTGAAAAAAAGAAAATACACAGAGGGAAAAGGAAGTCGTGTTGGAGAGCGTGTTCCCAAAACGTTTTGGCATCCCAAATGGATGTCGGTGCTCCTCCCCTATCACTCAAAGTGCCATAAAAATTATGCATGAATGTATTTGCTTCATTTCTACACGTTTTTTCTCTTTTTGGCCAAATATAAAAAGTGCCGCAACCCCCAAAAAAAGAAAAAAACCAAAAAATGAAAAAAAGAAAAAGGGAGAACGAAAATGAAACGAATGCAGCAGCGTCGCATTTTTACGGCTCCATTCATGTGACGACGGAAGTGTCAAGTGGCTGTTGGCAACTCGTCGTCGACGGGAAAAACTTCCCAACCCCCCCCAAAAAAAAAGGCGCACCCACCCACTTTTCCTGGGCGTCCTTTTCGTCAACGTCGCCTCTGTGCATCGAAAATGCCGTTATTGTTGCCAGTTGTCTACATGCTCTATGCTCCCATGTACATCACATCACATCAGATCCCCCTGGTCTCCGTTTTTTTTACTTTACCACCGTGAATCCCTTCTGCCCATGTCTACTACGTGTGCCCAAGTTGCATTCTCGCTCTCTTTCACACCCTCTATACCCGTCTCTTTCGCCACTGACGTCTGTCGTCGAGTGGGCAAACTTTTTAGCGTATGCATGTGTATGTTTCGTTTTTCACCATTTTTTTTCTCACATTTTTCTCCATTTTTCCCATTTTTTTGTGTGTACTTTGCTTCATTTTTCTATGCCCTTCATTTAGCTGGCTTTGTTCTTTTTGGGGTACAGTTGTGCTCGTAGGGTTAAGTAGCCTCTGCCCCGGACGAATAAGTAGCTGCAGATGCCAGATCCAAAAGTTGACGTCTGCACTTTTCGGAATAGGCAGTGGAATGGTTCCTAAGACAGCATTTTCCGGGTTCGGAAATACTACTTCAAGACAAATATTTGAAATGTATACATAAAAGGGAGCAAGCAATCTATCCACAATGATACCAACAATAAAACAAACATTTTTGTCCCAGATACGAAAATCATTGTATCGTAAGATTATTGTATCGATTTTAGAGTGTGAAATATGACCGCCTAAAGCTTCAGCATTATCAATTATCAAGGGTACCCAAAATAGTCAACATTTTAATATCCAATTTATTAAGTTAGAATGCCATTTATCATCTTATATTGTTCCTGATACATTATTGTATGTTAAAATTTCTAATATCATCTAAACAAAATCTAGACTTTTAATTAGTTCCTATACAAAATCACATTCAACATAATTTTGAGTAATAAATTGCTATCGATTATAGCTGCTTCTAATCTTTATGGTTTCTAACTATAATATATATTTGAAATGATATTTTTTTTGAAAATTCCTTTGAACAAAATCAAACTCACAATACCGCAAAGGACTTATCGCAAAACAACTTTTCACCATTACTGTTTTAATTCCATTACGCACAACTAAGTAACTAAAAGTAATTCCGGAATAAAAACTCAACGGGAATGGCAACAAAACTTGCCAAAGAGTCACTGCAATTAATGACATTTAACTACGAACCCTTGACCCGCCGTCCAGGAACAAAACTCCATGTTTTGGCACCCACTCCTGCTGAAAATGCCATGACAGCTGTCTAATTTGTCGCAGTAATTTGCGTTGACAAGTTGATTGTCCCGTTCATGCCAGCCACTCCCTAATTGCAGTTAGCCACTTACATAACCAGCAATGATAGACCCGATTACATGATTACACTGGGACCCGCAGAGTCCGGGCCAAAATCCACGAGACCACGACAGCCTGGTCCATGGGGCTTTCGCTTTCGATGCCCGATGCTTTCTGGCCTAGCGCATCCACTGCTCCTCTGCCTGTTGGCACATCTGCATTGCACTGCGTCTGCCGGTATAATGAAATTCTGTTGCCACTTTTCGACCTTCACTGGAGTTTCCACTCCCTCCCACCCGCCACTCCACTATCTCGCTGCAGTTTTTGGCCAAACAAAACGCCCAAAACGGCGTCCATTCGTGGCCGTGGCCATGACCATGCTGCCTTGGCCTGCCCCACTCCGTCTGGCCCCGTTCGCCTCTCGGTTGTTATTTTTGGCATCACCAGCATCAGCATGGAAACGAAACGAAACGTGCTGCCTGCCAGACTGCATTTCCCGGCTCTGGCCGCGTGCCACCAGCTGCCTGTTGCCTGCTGGCGGTTCACTGAGAAAATAAATGGGTAACTTGATTTGTTATTTAATCAGATCCAAAAAGAGCAAAAACAAGATGTTTTTTATCAGAAAATATACTAACAGGTTTCAGTACAAGTTAGCAAAATCAGATCAATCTTAAATCATTAATCATCAACAATTTAAAACAACGTTTTTTAAGGCAGAATATTATATTTTATTTAATTTGTTATGAAAAAATTCATCATAACTTTAAAGCAGTTCGAAATTTTCTTAAAAAGATTAGTACAAAATTGCAAATGGTGATTATTTTCAATGCATAAATATAACTTAAAGGCCTTCAGTGAAACCTAAAAATTATCCCTATGGTATTTATTTTAAGGAAACATTAAAAATGTTTGTGAAAAACTCATCAACTATACTTGCAAGTTTTTCTCCGTGTGCACTTATATCTGTGGCATTGGGGCGATGCCGGGCACTGGAGTTGGACTCGGATTTGTGTGGCACTGCATCCTCTGGCGGTGGCGAATGCGTGGCGGTGGTATTGTGGTGGTGGTGGTGGTGGTGTGGTGCTGCGGTGGCATTGACATTGGCGGCGAAAGTGTGGCACCAGGCAGGCACACTTCGCAACAGTTGTATTTTTGGCTTGTTACATGCCGACATGCCATTCGAATGCCACACTGCGTATACGTAATGCGAATGCTCTATTTTTGTGTGTGTTTTAATCCAATGATTCCATTGAAACAGCATGAATAGAGATTACGGCATTATGGTTAAGTTGGATCCTCTCCATGTCGCGTTGAAAAGTTTCGGAGAGTTCTTCAAGTCGAACTGAATATCCTTCGAACTTGTGACTTGTGCATTTCAACTTTTCCACTCCACAACTTTCCGCTTGAAGTTGTCTTCGCCCTCGTATGCGAGAATCTATTCCCATTTTTAATCTCACTCTCCTTACGATAATATGCACAATTTTTTCCAATGTCTGGCCAAAAACCGTCCACATGGCTGTCTTGTCTGTTTTTTCGTTTTTCCGTCTGTCTTTCGGCTTTACTTCCCCGAACCCAAGCCAACCATTCGATTTACATGCTTCGATACTTTGCGATTCTCCGTCTACGTCTCCAACTAGCAACTTCATCTCGTTTATGGTATGGGTATTTTTCTGCTGGTCTTCCTTACTTTTCTTTTTTATTTTTTGCCCACTGCTTTTTGCTCGTTTGCATATTAAAATTTCATATATGAATTTTTGCTTTATTAATATATCTTGCAGTTATTTTCGTTGGTTGGCTACGGGTTAGTTGGGTTCTTGCTCCATTTGCCCCATCAAAATGGATGTTGAAATTAAATTTCATTTGTGTCTTCACAGCTTAGTGAGGAGAATATGCGGAAGAGGATGGAATGGTGCGAGAGCATTGCGGTTCTGTTCTGGGTTTTTGCATCTGGTCTGTGGATATGTGCTTGTGGATCGGGATCCGGGGCTTAGCCAGCGCGAATTATTGAATTATTTCGCCAGCAGCTGGTAAATTCGATTTGCTCGCTGGCTGCCATATCACTTGCAGCATATGTATCCGGATCTGTGCATCTTCCCCGGCACTCGTATCTCTGTATACCCATGTACATACATACATAATATTCCCATCAGCGTGCGGAGTTCAACTAATTTGTTTTTACTTCATTGCATCGACGGAGCGTCGATGACGACGGCGACGTCATTGAAAATTAGACAAATTGGAAGAGTCAAAAAGGCAAAAAATATAAAAATAATGTGCGGGAGGGAGGGGAGTTCAGCCATTCCATAAACACCAGTCTGTGTCTGCGTTGAGTGTGAAGAAGTTGGCGAGCCGAACCAATACAGCTGCACAATCAATTTGCACACACCAATACTGTGATGGCATATCATTTAAGTAGCAAACATCGCGCCCCCAAATGTGATGACAGTAGGGTTACTCAATTTACTTTATTATGGTCATAAGCTCAGGAATATGACGGAAACTAATTACTTACCATTGATTGTACACAAGACCACAACAGATTATTCGTTTGGATTTTCATTGAAATTTCTAAACAACAAATATATAATCCCCAATAATCAATATGAAAATGGTTACGATTTAACTTTTTTATTTGCGATCTCTAAAGAGCTTAAATGCATTTAAGTACGTATACGTATTAAATAATACGTAAGAACGTTAAGTACGTATACGTATTAAATAATACGTATACTTACTTACTAGGTATTTTCCTTCATAATTTTTAGCATACTTTTTGGCGCCTTACCTTTTCAACCTCTAGGTTAATACAAATTTTCTTTTTAAATCACTAAAATGTATCTTAAATGCTGCAAATTATTAGACATAGGAATATAATAGGAATATTTCGCACACTCTTGGAGCCCATCGTCACTATAACATTAAGGTATAAAATTTAACCCTGACCATCCCTACTAAAAGACATTCTATCTCCACTCTTTTGGTTGTTTTTGGCTTTTGTTTCTGTTGTTTTTTCGTTGCTTATTCTTTTTGTGCGCTTCGACGCGTCACCGATTCGCAATGCGTGCGTTTGTGTGAGAGAGTGTGTGCGTGTGTGTGTGTGTGGGAAGTTTATTCAACCAAAGGTTCGGTTCATTGAACTTGGCCAAATGGAATGGCGAATATTCGGTTGTCGTAGGTTAGTTAGGCAGTCAGTCGCCCATTGTGCATTCACGAAATGAAGTTGCGGCGAGTTAAGCACCCTCACTCGCTCTCTTTCTTCACCGCCGGCTGCCATCTCTTTCGCACGTGGGGGAAAGGAGTATGGCATTTATGAGAAGGCACAAAAGACGAACTGAATGGAATGGCTGGTTGACAAACTGACTTGACTGACTGACGAAAACTGTGACGAAAAGTGAATTGGCAAATGCATTCGCATTCGCATTCGCACTCGCACACACAGATGCACATATCAAAAGCGCATAAAAAGCAATAAGTGAGCACTTTATGGCACTGAGGAAACGCCGTTTGGGCAGCCCTCTCCATGTGTCGCATGTTTGGCAAGTGTGGGTTAAGCGCACGGAGGGGTTAAGGCGCGGGTTTCGGGGGCCGGACAATCCACATAGGGCTCAAAATAAACATTGATCGTTAAGCAAATATAACAACAAACAGCGGCTCAGTTCTGTAGTTCTCAACGATATCGATAAACGTCCAATGAACCTATTTATTCTGAAGTACTATAGACATATCAAATCTCGACCTCCTATCAATCAAGTACTCTTCAATTTTATGCTGAAGTTTTCTAGCAAATTCTTTATTCTTGTAGGCTAGTCAAATAAGGATGTAATATTAGTGCTTAAACAATACAAGTTAATCGTATTCGAAAAAGCAATTCCAAAAACACTTATATTCGTACATCAAAAACATTTTAAAGTCTAAGTGTCTAAGTCTAAAAATTATATGATTTTAACCCACTCCAAATAATAATTTCTTAATAACAATAAAATATTATATTTAATTAACACGACTTTATTATAGATTTTAAGTTGTTTTAATTATGTATCTAATCATCGTAAAATGTAACAGTACAGTAAACTATTTCTTTTTTCTAGCTTATCTGCAGCCATTTACCCTCCGTAATTTATTTGCAGCTGGTTCTTGTTGCCAAATAAGCCCTTTCAGTTCTATGAAATCGTACGCCTTGATGGCTTCTGCTCTGCTTTGATTCCGGCTGCCTTTCAATTGTCACCGACGAAGATCCGCCAGTCAACGCCAACTTACCACAAAATCTGCTGCGAAAGGGGCAGAAGCAGGAGGCCTGTTTCGGATTGGTGGCGTCTTGAGGCAAATGGTTAGATGGTTAGATGGCTACAGCCAGAAGACCCAAAGCTTTCATAGACGAAATATGAGGCGCAACCGAAATGGCAAACGAAGCCGGGTCGGAACCAGTAGACCAATCTTCTGCTTTTGCTCCCTACTGCCCCATTCCCCTCCACGCTCATTTTGCATATGGGTAATTTGAGAACATTTGCGCTTTAACTGCATGGGAAAAAACAAAAATAAAAGAAAGAGTGCAGCCGGCAAAAAAAGAGATCCAGCAAGAAAAATATGTGCACATGTGTCGCCTGCTTTGGCCTGGCCTGGATATCGACAGTGGGACTTCGTTAAATCGTATTTCAAATAACTTAAATTAAGGGACATCGAATTATATATATTTTTACAATTATTATTAAAACTATTGTTGGTTTATTTTTTCTTGGGTTTTAATTGTATTCATAATAGGATTTAAAATATGTTATCATATGTTATTTTATACAATTCAAAAATTTTGCATTATAACATTTAAGAATTATTTTACATTTATTTTAAGAAAATATGGATTTCTTTTAGATAATGTTGTATAAAATGTACCTGTAAGTCTTGATGGAAAATGTTTATTTTGAAAGTCTTTCTGCAGATCGGCTGGTTTTTTTTACATCTTTTACTTGGTAATTACAAGTCGAACCAACTTGTAGGTGCTTAAATTTAAAACTTGAATAAAAAGATTCTGCCCATAAAAGTTCCACTTAGTCAATTTCAACTGTACGCAGATATCTCGACGGCCATGTCCATGGTGTAGTGCTTTCAAAGGCCTAAACCGATGTCGCCTTGTTGCTGGTTGTTGGTTGTTGTTAGTTGTTGTTGGTGCTATTGTAACTGACTTTGAGGGCTTCATCATCTGCTTTCGGCTGGTTACTTGGGCTCCGCCGACGAAAACTGACAGCGACCATGGAGTCGAGTCGAGCAGATCCAAGTGGCATGGCATGGCACGGTGTGGCATGGTGTGGTGTGGTGTGGCACAGTGTAGTGTGGAGTGGCTTAGGCTTAGGTTTTGGAGTAGGCGCTTCCAAGGGTAGGAGACACCAACAACGTCAACTGGCGGCGCATTTCAAGTTGACTTTATTTTCAGCGTCTACTCGGCCGGTGTCCGTCTGTTGGTCTTTTGGTCCCTCGGTCTCTGGGCCTCTTGGTTTGCATTTTTACTTGGCACTCTCCTTATTTGCATTTCTTTTTAGTTTTTTTTTTGTAAGTTTCTTTGGCTCCGAAACTTGATGAATTGGGAATTAATTCCTTTTGACATTGTTTTTTAGCATGCGAAAAAAAATTGAGAATACCTCTTGGGCAAAGTATGTTTGATATCATCTTGGGTTTACGATCCATTTAACTCAGTATATGAAGTAAGTCTTTTACCATTGGTTTTTACACTATTAGATAAAATGGCCATTTAAATACAATTAGGATATTTATTCAAAGGCTATAAGGAAATAAGGTAGTCTTCTAATGATTAATTTAAAAAATAAAATTAATATTTTGTAAATATATAATTTCACTTTATTATTAAATTCTGTTATGTAAATTAATTTTCACCTTCCTCTGACAAACATTTCCATATAACTCATACCTGTGTTTCGAGACCTTTTCTATCGGCTTTTTGGGCATTTGATATCTTTTGTGGCTGGGGACTCAATGAAATGTTTTTTCAACTAGCACTCCCCTTTCCAAAGCACACATATAGGCATTTATTTACACATTGGCTAAGCCTGTGACTTTTCCGCTGTCCCCGCCCTTAACCCTTTTCCCCGGGATTCCCCCAATTCCCCGCTTTGGCCAAAGTTCATTGCACTTTTTGCGCAGAATTTGTTGCCTAACCAGCCGAAGAACAAACGCACAGGCGGACAATTTGTGTTGTTGTTGCTGCTATTGTTATTGTTTTTGTTGCTTTTGTTGCTTTTATTGTTGTTGCTCTCCTACTCTTTGGCTTTTTAGTTTCCTTGTGTGCGTTTGTATGTGTGAGTGTTTTTTTCGTGTTTGGCGTTAACATTGGCAGCAGGTGTTTGACATTGCGTCAAAGGTATTGCTGCTGTTGCACAGCGAGAAAATCTTAGAATCTCTGAGTTATTTATTTTTTCTCTTAATCTATAATTGGATAGACATTTACTAAGGACACAAAAGAGGTTTGATGCCTCCATAAACATTGGCTTTATTTGCGTTAAAAGTCTTATAAGTAAATTAATAATAAATCAGGGCTTGTAAAAACCTTATTTACTTTATTTATACAGAAAAGTTCCCAAGTCTTTAAGCTAGCATTATATTATTTAAATCTTCGTTTTGCCTACATAATATATAAATTTTGTACTTTAAGGTTTTATGGTTATAAAACATGTAGGACTGTCAAAGAAAATTTTACAGAATAAATACGAAATATAATAGTTTTCCTATTTAAAATCATCTTTAATAAGTATTTTCTATATAAAACCAATTTAATCCCCTCTATTTTGTTATATTTTCTCTCTGTGTGCGGTCGTTGCTTTTCTTGTTGCCGATGTTGCTGCTGGTGTTGTTGTTGCCGCAGTTGCTGCTGCCACGGACTGGTTGCCTCAGCCTGCCTCAATGCCTGACAGCCTGCCACAGGAAGCCATACAGTATTTCGCCCTGCTGGAGAGTGTGCGAGTGTGCTGGCCAAGTTGTTTTCATTGTTAACAAGCTTTCTGTTGTTGTAGGTCGCAAAATGTGAGCCAAATGTGGAGGCGAGCGGAGGGAAGCGGGATGTTGAGCCATTCCAGCTTATGCGAAATTAACTTTCGGCGTGTAAATGGCTTGCACAATTAGAGCTTGAATTGTTTTTTTTTGCGAGCGATGCAAGGGTGCTAATTATGCAGAATATGTGGGGAGAAGACTGTTGCAGATGGTCTTCTATTTTCGCAAAAGCATCTGTCAGTAGGGTTTCTTACATTTATTACTTTACTATTCGAGAAAACAAGAGAAACATCTATTAAACTTGAAATAAAAACTTTAAGCTAAGCAATAAAATGGGATAAGAACATATTAATTAATTTGTATAGAACAAAAGATTTTTATTTTTAAAAAAGTGCATGCTTAAGTTTTGAGTAGAGCACAGTTAATTAGCTAATATCAACAAATGATGTCCATTTGATATGGCTAATGATGCTTAAAAAAGCTTAAAAAAAAACCGTTGCTATAAAAATAATTCTTTATCCATACTTCAAATTCCATAAGCCTGCAATTCATAAGTGGATAATAGGCCCCGTCCATTTTCAGATACCAAACCGATTGAGGTCCTTGAAAGGCCTTTTGCCTGCAAATGAACGCACGAATAAGTTTTCACAACTAACCGACCAATCGGGCCGAATGGAAAACTAAATCAAATAGGACTCGAACTGAAAGTCAGGCGGAAAGTACTCGACGCAGTGCTCGATATGCCGATGAATATATATTCTAAAATAAATATCTGTTCGACTGACCCCCCTTCTTCGATTGATGGCTAATTTGATGCCCATTTGCAATGGGTTTTTCCACGTTCTATTTTTTTCGTGCTCCTCATTTTGCCATTGGCCAGCCATTCTGCAATTGAAAGCAAATATTGCGTATACGCCCCCGGTTCGCCGGCACTTACGCATGATGTTCTGTTTGGCCATTTCTTTTTAGCCCTGCACTGCTGCTGCTGTTTTTGTAATTTTTCTAAGCCGAAGAGGAGCAGCCAAGGGGGGGTGGGTTTTTGGAGGGGGTTGGGTTGGGGAAGTCTGCATGCATAATGCATGTGTAAACGCATAAAAGGATATTGATCTGCCCCCAGCCAACAAAGCGACCGCTATGCATCAGCCGGGGTTTTTAAAAGGGGGTTTGGGGGTTGGGGGAAAGGGGGTGGTGTGGGGGTAGCCGCAAAACTTTTTTTTTTCGCTGTGAGAAGGAGTTGGCTAAGACAGCGAGAGTGCTGCAGGCCTCGAAAATTGCGTTTGCATTTCTGTATAATTTTTCCCCCTTCAGTTCACGAATGTATACGGTATATATAGAAATTAAGTGTGTGAGGGGGGTTTTTGTATATACTTCGGCCATTATATGCAATTCTGCGGCACAACTTACGCACTTTTCGTTGTGCGTTTTTGTTTTTGTGCTCGCATGCGTCACACGTCCTGCGTGAGGTCCTCCCACCCCCCACTCCCCCCGCTCCCGTTTCTCCTCCTGAGTGCGTGAGTTTGTGCTGCTTATGCAATATTTATAATTATAATCATATTTTCCATTCCCATTGCCGCACAATGCATATAACTCTAGCGACTCATTCTGCCGCACTGCTGCACCGTGCTCAGCCTTAAATTGCATTTAAAAGATTCCCATTTCCATTCCCACTCCCAAGAAGTCCTCCCTTTTCTTTTTTTTTTTGAGCCACTCGCCTTGGGGCACTTCCTGCCGGCCGAAAAGTAAAATTCATTTCCCCAGCTCAGCACAAAGTCCTGTCACTCAGGGCCAAACGAAAAATGTTTCTGGCCCAAAACAAACCGAAAAATGCGAAGGAAAAAACTCGAAAAAAGGCAGAGAACTTTGCATTTATAATTAAGCAAAAAAATAAGGGACGGCAGCAGCATTGAATGGCTTTCAGATCCCTGAGGCAGATATAAAGATTTTCGGTGGGAGATAGCTTAGTCAAAGGAGCAACAAATCTGTTAAGTTAAGTTGCCTTACCAAATCGTTTTAAAAGGTATTAAATAAAATGTACCTGTTAAAAAGAGTATACAATGAAAAGAAACTAATTTATTTTAATGGTTTGGGATGATCTTAAAAATAATAATTGTTCTATATAAGTATAATCATTAGAATATTAATTTTGAAGCGAATAATTAAGAACTCTTTTGTTTCCATAAACGAATTCCATTAAAAAGAAACGAAATCCATTTATACATGTGTTTCCCCTTATCCTTTTTTTTATTTTTTGTCTTAACCAAAGGCGGTCGCCGTTTGAAAATTTAGCGTGTGACGAATTCTGGAATTATTTGTTTGTATGGCTTGTTAGCCGTAAATTTCAGCGCTTTTCGTGTTGGCCCGTCTTTTGGGGTCCCGCATATTTGACAAGAGCTAAGCCAGTCCAAGCCGGGCTAAGCTGAGCCGCGGTTAAATGGGGGAAAAAAAACGCAAAATATACGAAAAACAATGTTAACCTTTTCTATGCAGCCACTATACATCGAAACGGCCAACGACAAATTTATGATAATTTGGAACGAAAAAATGCCGCTGATGTTGCCGCCGTTGGCCGAGACCATAGAATGACATTAGTACATCGTCCATTATTGCCTCGAAACATGCTCTTTTGTTGTTTTGGTCGAAACATTTTCATGGCCTGTAGGCGCCACGCCCCC